AAGGTAACAAATCCTGTCTCTAGTTGTTAATGGGAAAACATGAAAGGTTTTATATCTGTCATGCAGAAAATTAGCCAGTGACAAACTATTCTGAAATTTTTGTCAAGGGAAAGAAAAAAACAAAAACGCATGACTATGAATCTGCCAGAATAAAAAATTCAAGGCTCTGTCTGAAGACTCAGCATCAATGTTCATAAAAACATTAAAACGTTATGTAGTCTCTATTGAACAAAGACCACATTGCATTTTGGTACATGAGGTACTTCCGGTTTGTCCGCTAAGTGTATACACGGGTCATAGGAGAAACATACATACGCTCCATGGAGCCATCTTCTCATCCTCAGTCTCCTCTTCACTAGTGCTACTTTCTCGCAGGCTCTTCTCTCCTGAAACTCCTAAGTGAGAGCTAACAAACAAATAACACGATTAGTTTGCACCGTCTGGACTTGGCTTTCCATGTCTCTCTTTCCTGTTGGCACACCGTTCAGAATCTGAAGGCTCTTTGGGGGACATCACTAGGGGAAAGGAAGGAGCAGAGCTGGTGAACTGCAACCAACACCCAACTGATGCCAGGAATGCTTTCCTGGGTGTTTTCTCTCACTTGCTTTTAGGCAAGTTGGCAAAATTTTCTCTTTTAAAAAAGAAATTACTGTTTTCTGAAGTCAAATTTCTGGGTCTATTTTCTGAGAAGAACGAAATCGGAGTTCCTATTTACTTATTTTCCCTGTTGACTCCTAGAAGGAGAGTCCATTAGCGGTTAGGAAATCGGGATTGCAAGTTTGGGGGGGAGGCCAGGACGCACGGGGCTGTTCCTCGCGGCTACGCACCTGGGCAGCCCCGAGCTGCGCCCGCCCTGCCCGCTGCGCTCGGCCTTCTCGGCGATCTTCCGCAGCCCGGGGGCTCTGCCACGTCCTCTGCGGCCTGAGGGAGAGCGGGTCGTTTCAGGGCAAACGCCGTGGAGGCCAGGCTTCTGGCTTCTGGGGTCCCTGGGGGCGAGGCCCGGCTACCAACTCCCACCCGGACCCGCACCGCCAGGCTCCCACCCGGGCCAGGCCGGCAGGGCTTACAGCGGGCGGCGGGCCGCCGGCTCGGGCCCGGGAGGGCCTCTGCCGCCTCGGGCGGGCCTCGGTCCGGCGCCGGCGTCAGGTTGAGCCTCTGGCCCGCCCTCTTCTTGCGGGAATAGACCCGCAGCGGCCACAGTGCCATCCTCCCGCAGGCCTCGGGGCTCGGGGCCGCTAGGCCCTCCAGGCCTGTGTGGTCGTCTCCTGAGGAGCCGCTCTGCTGCCGGACGGAGTCCGCGTCCAGGGGCGCCCGCCGAGCAGCCCGAGAGGAGTGCGGGGAGAAAAGCAAAGGCCGCAAGACGCAGCCGGCCAGCCCACTCCGCTCCCGCCTTTTTATGTCGGCCGCGCCGCGCGCTGAGGCTTCTGGGAAGTCGGGGCGAGAAGGCCGCTGGACGGCCGCCCTCCTGGGAGAGCCCAGGGGGTTGATGGGCGGGTGTGTGTGTGGGGGGCGCTGCAGGCTCCCTCTGACGGATGCTTTCAGGACAGAACTTGTTCTTTGTCCATGAGTTTGGCCAACCCGTGCTCCTGGGCCATGGAGCGCTAGGTCTCTGAGCACCGGGAGCCTAGCGGGCAGCCTAGCTCAGGGCAGGCGGGTCAGAGGGGAACGACAGCATGTGAAAGCCGCAGGGAGTGTCCTCTTGAACAGTCAGCTTCAGTCATCTGGGGGCCGTGGCACTTGAGAATTTACTCAAGCATTTGACAATTTGGGGTTCCAGAAGTTTCTTTTCAAGGACAAGCAGAATCCCATAGCCTAGTGTCTGCAAACTCATTGGTCAACAGAGCCAAATATCAACAGTACGATTGAAATTTCTTTGGAGAGCTGAAAACCGACTGATGTGCATGGGCCACAAAGTGTCAATAGCCCTGTACTGCATGCCTGCAACGTGGTATTTTGCGGAAGAGCCACACTCAAGGGGCCAAAGAGCCGCATGTGGCTCACAAGTGAGCCGCGGTTCGCCGACCACTGCCTTAGCCCCTGTGTTAAGGTGGGAGATTTCACAGGGGACATCCCTCCTGGTTCCTGGGGCTCAGCTCTTTTGCTCTGCTTAATTGGAGGGAACATAGGAATGACCTCCCCATGTCTACACACCCAGATTGAACCATCCGGCTGCATCTGATAAGCATACTGTGCACATAATAACCACCTTTTTTTTTTTTTTTTTTTTTTTTTTTTTTTAGAAATATGACACTTTATTCTTTTTTTTCTATTTTCTTTTTTTTATGTGAATCTTGTGATGTTATCACAACAAACATGTTTTAATTATGGCTTTTATTTATTTATTTGTTTTAACTAAAGAATTTATATGCAGATAGCATAACCCATGGACACAGACAATAGTGTGGTTAAGGCCTGGGGGTACAGATACAGAATAGAGGGGGTCAATGGGGAGGAAAGTGGGACATCTGTAATACTTTCAATAATAAAAATAAACTAAAAAACTAATAAAATAAAAACCATCCTTAAAAAAAAATAACATTTCACAATATTAAAAAGACATTTGTAGCCAAAACCGGGTTGGCTCAGTGGTATAGCATCGGTCTGCGGACTGAAGGTTCCCAGGCTCGATTTCTGTCAGGGGCATGTACATTGGTTGCAGGCACATCCCTGGTGGGGGTGGAGGAGTGCAGGAGGCAACTGGTTGATGTTTCTCTCTCATCAACATTTCTGGCTCTCTATCTCTCTCCCTTTCTCTCTGTAAAAAGTCAATAAAAATATATTTTTAATAAAATGACATTTGTAGAGACGAAACTACAAAAGTTATACTTTTTTGTGATGCTTCAATATTGTGTGACTATAAACACACACACTGAGTAGCCAGATTATTACGATCTCTGAACGCATAATAATCTGGTGTATATCCTATATAATAAAATGTAGTGTATTTTATTGTATATCTTATATAATAAAATGCTATATATCCTATATAATATCCTATATAATAAAATGCTAATATGCAAATTGTATATCCTATATAATAAAATGTATATCCTATATAATAAAATGCTAATATGCAAATTGTCTCCTAGACCGGACCCCACCCATGCACAAATTCATGCACCATGCCTCTAATACACACACACACACACACACACACACACACACATATATATATATATATATATATATATATATATATATATATATATATATATATATATATACCAGAGGCCCGATGCACAAAATTTGTGTTAAGGGTAGGTCTTTGGTCCCCTGGCTGCTGCAGCAGCTTCTCTCTGTCACTGGACCTGGGCTTCCCTCCAGCCCAGCTTTGTCCGGAAGGATGTCCAGAAGGATGTCCAGTCTAATTAGCATACTACCCTTTTATTATTATAGATGTCTTCTCACTCCATCCCCAAATACACAAACACCAATACAGGCATTCAGTCAGGAGTTTTAACTGAACCTCTGCTATTTTCCTGTTGGACTGCTCCCATAGCTAGACTCAGGTTCTGCTCTCAGCGTTTCATTTCAGTCATGTAATGGATTTGATTAGGTTTGGGACAGTCATGGAGATGCTACCTTCAATGGGAAAACAAGTTTCAAATTTTGAAGAGATTTCTCAAGAAAGGTTTTTGGAAAACAGCCAGTTTGTGGGTTTAAGATTCCCTGGAGCTCAGGAAATCATTATGAATAATGTTTGTGTGTGTGTATATGTGTTTAGTGATCCACTGAGCAGCTTCGATTTGTGATACCATCCACAGGCTTTAGGGTACAACTGAAAACCAGTTTGTTTAGACTTGTCAAGAATGAAAAAAAAAAAAAAGTATTAGATGAAATGTATCTTTAGGCATTACACTCTTAATGCTAAGCAACAAATGGGGAAAAATAAAAGGACAAGGGTATCTTCATTCAATAGACTTGAGCACCCACTATGGCCCAGACTTTCTGCTACAAATTCAAGCAACTCACAGTGTGAGTGGAAGTGGGCAGAGGGACAATCAACCAGTCAACCATGTGGCCAGCTTCCCAGAGAAAAGAATACTTGAGCTGAGTTTTAAGAGATAAATGGTATGAGGTCGAGTAACTAAAGGAAAGGGCATTCTATAAAAAGGGGACTATAGGAGGCACAGAAGAACATGATGCTTTTAGGACACTACAAAAAGTAGTTGCTAAGATTGGAGCCAAGGCTCTGTGGGGGAAGGGCATGAGAAGAGGTTTGGGGCCTTGTGTGCTGAACCAGGGCGTCTGAGCTTTATTCTGGAAACTGTGGGAAGTCATTGAAGGAATATTAAGCAGGAGAGTGGCATGACCAGACTTTCAATTTAGAAAGGTCACTGTGAAATATGGATGGCAAAATCTGAGCAAGATGGGAGGGAAACGAAGACTAATTAAGAGAGCACTGTAATATTCCAGACAAGAGATGAGAGTAGAGCCAATTACCCACTAAAAGCTGTGAGAATAAAGAGGAGTGGAGGCTTAGCAAATTTAGAGAAGGCAGAATCTGCATCATTTAGAATGGCAGAGCACACCATTTTAAGAAAGTGTGCCTGTTATCTTGTATGTGGGTTAAAGACATTATGGGAATACTGTTTATGGTCCATCATGGTGGAAAATTTGAATACAGTTCTTTGTTCTTTTTTTGTGCCAAAACTTGGGAGTGAACATATTTGTTTTGTTTTAAAATTATGAAAGAGATTTAAATCCAGGACACATTTGGTAGCAGCCAATGTACAAAACAAAAGAGAGCCTCTTGGGGAACCATAGGCTTTGAAGTTTGGGGTCCCTGGAGGATGAGGAGTATGCAGACTAGTGACATGGCTTGATACTATGTTTGCCATGAGTACTACAATGGATGATTTTTTTTTTTATTAACGTATTATATGTGTACATATCTTACTGTTGCCCCCCCCCCCACTACATATGATGGATGATTACCAAATATACTAACATCATGGGATTATATGATACGAATAGGTAAAATAATAATTCTAAGTAACTTTGAGAAACAAAAAAATCTTTATTTTTTTTACAAAAGTTCTCATAAATGCATTTTATATTTGTTAGGCATGCTATTATAACAAAGCAACTAAAATATAACTATAGTTGAGATACTTTTATGCATATTTAAAAAGTAATATTTTAATCTCCTTTTTAAAAATTGAAAGTAGAATAAGCAATTCTTAAAAAAAATAGCCATTTTTTCCCCTCATGCATTTGTTGCAATGACTTAACAAGGAAAATTGAAAAGAACCAATCAGGTAAATGTTTAAAAGCAACTGTCATGAAAACCTTTTCAGTTTGGGATCAGGTTTAGAAATGCTTGTATGCCAGGTATTTGTCTATGGCCTCTGGGTGATAACCATGCATAGAGTCTAACTGGCGTTTCCCATGTGGGGCTTGGTCCTCACTCAGAGGCTAACCCCATTCTCACTGCAGTTGATTGTAGATTCACAGAAAGGACTGTGCAGCATACTTGAGAGAAAGTTCAGACTACCAGGATCATTTTGTCTTTTCATGTATATGTTCCTTTAAAATAAAAACAGGCAAGAAAATGCAGCAACTTAGCTCAACATATAATTTATCAATTTTATAAGATTACTCATTTTTTCCTGAGATAATTAAGCAGGTTTGTAAGTAGTCTGTTTTCATGCAAAAATACATTCTTTCCATTCTTTACATTCATTTAGTAGCATTTTGTATTCTAAATAACTAGATCACATTTGTGCTTTATATATTTGGAAAATAAAGAATAATTCATTTTCTTTACTGCAGAAAATTAAGATTATTAGTTCTCTGATGGGTAATACAATCAAGTGAAGTGCCAACTTCAAGTTGCTAAAACATCACCCAACTATAAAAATAGCAATGGAAACTTCTAATTTTTTTTCTCATGCTGGCCGTTTTACCTAAATTAGGAATGAAAGGTTGACTTACTCATGTGAGGAAGAAAATATATATATATTTTCATTCCTTGGACTCCTGAGTTTGTGAGTTCCTAACTGTTGGAGCTAGGCCTACACACCACACCTGGTCAGAGTTTCCTCTCACCTGGGGGAATCACTGTATAATATAGAGATGTCTTTTATGGCAAAAGGGAAAAAAATTGGTGCATATTCTATTTTAAAATATACACAAGATTCGTTTGTAAAATGTGTGAATTACTAACACATTTGAATGAGAAACATTCAAATGTGTTAGTAATTCACACATTTTACAGATAAATGTGTTTAAGAACATGTCTATGTTTAAGGAATTGATCTCTATTATATCTTTAGACTTAAAATGGTCTGACATCCACTGTGAAGGTGAATGTTTTAAGTACATAACCTTTTTCTATGTTGGTTAAAGAGAAATACAAACTTTCCTCCTCTAAATAAAGTTGGGAAATATGAAGCAAGAAGAATTTTTCCATTAATACATACTGTTTCGTTTCTATATTCAATCATATCTAACTATTATGAAGTATAAACAGAATCAAAATAAGTTTTAAATTATCGATAGTTATATGACATTGTCAAAATTCTTTTGGGAACCAAGCCAATTATGTAGTTATGTTAAATGGAAGGACAATGGGAAACAGCTTCATTTTTTTCAAGATGTGAAACTATTTGCCTTTAAAATTGTATGAATATTCAATTCAGATAATGATTTTCCCTTTTAATTAGTCAAATATATATTAAATGTAAAAACAACAACAACAACAACAACAACAACAATGCTATGTAGATGTGGCCTTGGGCATATTTTAGCATTTGTTTATTTAGAAATGCCTTTTAAAATTAATGTGCATAGAACTAGCTTATTTACAAAAAGTCAAATTTGTTAGTACAAGTAGTGGGTATGCAAAGAAAATATGCCAAAGGAATATATATAAAAATCGGATAAATACATCTGTGGTCCACTTTTGCCAAGAACGAACTGGACGTGTATAATCACTGATGGAAGGGCTTGTGTGATTACGCAGCGTGTAACTCACAGTATGGATTTGTTCCAGGGGAAAGGGGCTTCTGGATTGTGAACACTGCCCCATCTCTGCTTTCAGAGTTCTGTCTCTAAAGAAAACACTTTCACTCTGGCCGGGTTCTCAGCTGGTTTAGAGTTATACCAAGGTTGTGGGTTCAATCCCTGGTCAGGGCACATATAAGAATGAACCAATGAATGCATAAATGAGTAGAACAACAAATCAATCTCTCTCTCTCTCAAATAAACAAAATAAAATAAAGCATAAAAAATAAAACACTCTCCTAGGGACATTTCCCTCTCAGATGGAGCATCTGTAGCTTTGACTTTAATTGCTGCTCATGCTGGGTTTAATTATGTGAAATTGTTGACACCCAGATGCAAGAAGTGTCTAAATACATAATGCAGGAGAGGAGGTTTTTGTGGTTAAGCTTAGAAGCATTTCAGATTTTATGAATGGAATTATGCCCCATGAAGATATTTATCTATGACGGACTTAAAAGTTTTCCGTGGGTACTTTGAAGAGATTATTCAAAATTATGTTGTGGAAAAATTACTTTGCTTGGAAATAACATTCCTTCCTCCTGGCATCATGCCTTGCTAGTCTTGCTGAAAGAAAGTGGAATTGTTCAGAATTGTAGCCATTTGGGGTTTCCCAGGCCAAAGGCAGACATATTGAACATGGAAGACTGCAAGGAACATAGTTAGATTAATTGCTGCCCGCCCTGAGAAATAATTCTGGGTTTCTGTTCCCAGGTCTTCTCCACAGGCCCACTTATTGTAGAGTCAACATCAACAGACAGCTTTTAGAATTAATGTTGTAAGAAGTCCAAAAATGTACATACACTGTTCTTGAAGTAGTCATACATTACATTTTTTTTCTAGGTTCTTTCTGAATGTTTTAATGAGCTTATAAATGAGAAAATATTTAAATATTTTTGTGACGTTATATAAATATAACATTAATTTTAAGAATATCCGAATTTGCATTTTTCACGAATAAACATAAAAATTAGAGAGAAAAAATTTTCCCCCCACATCAACAGGATTGTCATGTGTGAAGAATCTAAAGTTATGTAGAATGTGAATTATCACATTTTACTTTAGTATGATTCCACACACCTGCTTTTAATTTTTAGATCTGATCTAATTATGATTTTTGACAATCGGTTATTGAATGAGGTAGTCCACATTGCCTGGATATTTGCTGTATCTGATTTCTAGTCCACAAGTAATTAAGTACAACATATCAATTATGTTTTTTTCTTTATGTTTAATAGGAGTGCTATGAACATTGAGAATATATTTCTTTTAGTGGTACATAGTTCTTGAGAAAAGTCTTGATTTTTACATTGCCATTTGCAATATTTTTAGCAGCTTGCTACAATATCATTTTAATAAAAATAAAGTATACTCGGTGATGATAGAGAAAATATTGTTAAAGACCTCTCAGGGCAGGAAAAGGCTCAGTCATGAAGTCACGTGCTTATTCGTTTTCAGCTGCATCATTCTGACTCTTTCATGAATAACTATAATATTGCTACACAGGCCATTGTACTGAGCAGAACTTGCCTTGAACTTCACATGGAGGTTGAGTAAAGCTCCTGTATTTGTTTTTTGAAGTACTCTCTCAGCTCAGGTCTCTTAGCCTTTAGTGTTGGCGTCAGCAAGCCGTTTTCAACTGAGAACATGTCAGAATGGATGTGAATGGCTTTTACCTAAAAACCAAAGGCAGAATACATCTTTAACAGGAATATAACACAGCATTTATAACATACATGGCAAAAGTAAACAGGAACATGGGAATAGCTATTATCAATAAAAAAAAACAAAAACCACTATGCCTTTTTAAAACTCAAAACTATGTTAATAACATGTCAGCCTATTTGACATGTCCTACTCATTCATTTAGGCAGTCAACAGAGATGAATTGGTTGCTTACTCTGTGCCAGGCATTGAGGACACAGAGTGACCATCAGTGCCCCTGCCCTCAGGGAGTGCAGCCACACCCAGTAGAGCAGACACACTGGGCAGTCATTTGTCGATCTCCTTTTTCCTTCCTTGAAGAGTAGCCAAGCCCACAGCCGTAGGAGCTACCTTGTGACCATTAGGTGACGAGCCAACACACTAAGAATGGACAGTAGGGAGACAGGCAGAGCCCAGGTCTTTGAAGACCTACCTTGGATGGCTTATCTTTGGACTTCTTATGTGAGAAAAACACACACAGAGAAATGCATCCTATGTGTTTAACACACTGTCAGGTTTTCTGTTAAGAGTGAATGCATTTCTGATAGAGCACCCAACCCAGGCTTGGGCAGGATTCATTGAAAAAAGATGCCGAGTTGAACTCTGAAGGATAAATTGGCTTTATCCATTTGACGATAGCAAGGGCCAGGGGGAGTGGTTGCTGCCATATGGTCTGAGTAGAAGGAGGGTGCTCTAGGCCAGTGGTCGGCAAACCGCGGCTCTTGAGCCACATGCGGCTCTTTGGCCCCTTTAGAGTGGCTCTTCCACAAAATACCACTGCCTGGGCGAGTCTTTTTTTTTTTTTTTTTAATATATTTTTTTACAGAGAGGAAGGGAGAGAGAGAGCTAGAAACGTCGATGAGAGAGAAACATCGACCAGCTGCCTCTTGCACACCCCCTACCCGGGATGTGCCTGCAACCAATGTACATGCCCTTGACCGGAATCGAACCTGGGACCTTTCAGTCCGCAGACGGATGCTCTACCACTGAGCCAAACCGGTTTTGGCTGGGCGAGTCTATTTTGATGAAGTGGCATTAGAAGAAGTCTAAGTTTAAAATATTTGGCTCTCAAAGGAAATTTCAATCGTTTTACTGCTGATATTTGGCTCTGTTGACTAATGAGTTTGCCGACCACTGCTCTAGGCAGAGGAAGCATGTGCCAAAACATATTTGGGACATTGCAAGTGTAGGCTGAAGCACATACTAGTAATGCAAATGAAGAAGAGAGAGAGGGCTGGAGAGATAGACACAATTATAAAGGACTAATATGCCAAGGTAGGAGTTTGGAAATAATACCCTAAATAATTTTTTAAGCTAAACAGCAAGAAACAGAATCAGAATGGCTCTTTAGATTGATTAACCTGTAAGGAATGGATTGAAGTGAGGAAAAGTTGAAGTTGGAAGACCAGCCAAGAGGAAAGACTGCTGGTGATTTGGGACACGAGTTTGCTGTGGAGACAGAAATAGATTTCAGGGGGAGAAAGGACAGGTCTTAGAATTGATTTGGGTAAGTGGTAATGAAGAAGAGATGATGATGGCTCTAAGTTTCTGCTTGGGCAGAAAAAATTGGAGGAGCAGAAAGATTCTTTGGAGGTGGGAAGATCAAGTATTCATGTAAAGTTGAAATGCTTCTGAGACACCAAGTAGTCTTAGTCATTGGCCATAAAAGTATTAGCATGAAGGACAGAACTGCAGCCTAGACTTGAGACAGGGAGACAGGGAGGAGTGAGTGAAGAAGAAAGAAACTGGAATGTAGGTTACAAAAGCCAGAAAACAAGAGAGAGAGGTCACTGCTTCAGGTGCTACTGTCCTGTGAGAACTGTTAATAAAATCAATGGGCACAATTAGGAAATGTTACTTCAAAAATCAATGTATATACCACCTCATCCCCATTAGGATGGTCATTTAAAACAAAACAAAACAAAACAAACAAACAAACAAAAAAACACAGAGAATAAAAAGTGTAGGTCAAGAGACAGAGAAATTGGAACCCTTGTGCATTGTTAGTAGAAATGTAAAATGGCGCAGTCATTATGGAAGCCAGTATGGTAGTCCCTCAAATTTTTAAAAATAGAATTACCCAAGTAATTCCACTTCTGAGTATTTCCCAGAAGTGAAATTGAAAGCAGTGTTTCCAAAAGACAATTGTATGGCCATGTTCACAGCAGCATTATTCACAACTAGTAGCCCTGTGAATGAATTCGTGTGCCAGTAGCTCACCAGTAGCTCGATGCCGCTCTCCAGCAGCTCTCCGCCTGATGCCCCGCCCTACTGTAGCTTCCTCCGCCCCCCTCTCCCCTACTCCCCCTCAGAGCTTGCTGCCCTGCCACCTCCTGTAGCTCTCTGCCACCTGCTTGTAGCTCGCTGCCCTCACCCTCCTGCTGATCCGTGATCCGGTCGTTACAAGGTCAGTTGTTATGCTTCACAGCGTAACGAACATTTGCATATTACATCTTCATTATATAGGTCAGATAAAATGTGGAAGCAACCCAAAATGTCCATCAGTGGATGAATGGATAGGCAAAATGTGGAACATTATTCACTTTAAAAAGAAAGGAAATTCTGACATATGTTACAACACAGATGAACCTTGAGGACATTATGTTAAGTGAAATACGCAAGTGGCAAAAAGACAAATACAAATATATGAAGTACTTAGATTGATCAAAGTCATAGAGACAGAAAGTAAAATGGTGGTTGCCAGGAGCTGGGACGGGGGTGGAATGGGGAGATATTGCTTAATGATAAAACAGAGTTTCAGATTTACAAGATGAAAAGAATTACTGAGATGGATGGTGGTGGTGTTTGTACAATATTACAAGTGTGCCTAACACCACTCAACTGTATACATAAAAACGGCTAAAATGATAAAAATTTTATGTGTACTTTACCATAAAAAGAGGGGAAAATTAATGTATACAAATAGTTGAAAAAATTCAATATGTCACCAATAGTTTTCAAAATCTCTGATGCTAACAGTTTGGCAGGCAGGTATTTTGAGATGGCAAAGATTTCTTTGCTGAGAAAACTCTCCCTTACATTCACTGGTATTCCAGATAAAAAACTCAATATATGTCCTGGTGAGGTGTTTTTCAGTGGTTATAGTGTCAGCCCACGCATTGAAAGGTTGTGGGTTTGATTCCTGGTCAAGGGCACATTCCTGTGTTGCAGGTTTGATCTCTGGCTCTGGTTGGGGTTTATGGTGGAGGCAATGTGTCTCTCACATTGATGTTTTTCTCTCTCTCTCTCTCCTTCCCCTTTCATCCCTCCCTTCTCTAAAAAAGCAATGGAAAAAATATCCTTGGTGAAGGATTTTTTTAAAAAAGTACCATACATTTAAATATTGTGTTGGACATCAACAAGTCAACAAACGACAAGTGCTGGTGAGGTTGCGGAGAAAAAGGAACCCTCGTGCACTGCTGGTGGGAATGCAGACTGGTGCAACCACTGTGGAGAACAGTGTGGAGTTTCCTCAAAAAACTGAAAATGGAACTCCCATTTGACCCACTAATCCCACTTCTAGGAATATATCCCAAGAAACTAGAAACACCAATCAGAAAGGATATATGCACCCCTATGTTCATAGCAGCACAATCTACAATAGCCAGAATTTGGAAACAGCCTAGGTGCCCGTCAGCAGATGATTGGATCCAAAAACGATGGTACATCTACACAATGGAATACTATGCTGCCATAAAAAAGAAGGAATTCTCATCATTTGCAGCAACCTGGATGGAATTGGAGAACATCATGCTGAGTGAAATAAGCTAATCAATGAAAGAGAAACACCACATGACCTCACTCATTTGTGGATGATAAAGAACATTATAAACTGATGAACCAAAAGATAGATATAGAGACAGTATATCAACAAGTAGACTGTCAAATTACAGCGGGGAGGGGAGGAAGATCTGGGAGAGATAATAGATCAACCAAAGGACTTTTATACATGCATATAAGTACAACCAATGGACACAAAACTCTGGGGAGGGAGGGGATGTGTGGGAGGGAAGGAGGGGGGCAAAAAAAAAAATCAATAAAATATATTAAGAAAAAAAAAAGAAAAAAAAAAGAAAGAGACCATGTTGCCAATCTCAGAAAGGAATTGTGCAGTGTACTCCTTTCTGGCAAACATCTGTTAAATGAATTAAAATGTGCCAGTGTGAAAATAAATAAATAAATAAATAAATAAATAAATAAATAAATATTGTGTTGGAATAAAATATCTAAAAAGTGTCAATTTATGCTAACTCATTAAAGCACAGCACTTTTCATAATTTATAATGAAATACTTTTAATATACAATATTGCTTATAGATAATAAACATAGAGTGAATAATGTAGGACAGAGAATAGAGTAGAAAAACATTTAAATTAAATAGGAAAATGCTAAATTCATTTATAACTTAAAGGTACTTTCATTAGATAAGTATTCATTTCAATGATAGGAAATACAATAAAATGTTTTTCGTAAGAGCTTCCATTCAGAATTTGAAAAATCTATTAAGTGTAGAAGTTTACTTTGTGTTGCCTATTCAAACTAATAAAGCACATAAAAGTCAAGAAAAATGGTTAAACCAAAGTTAAATATGCTCAAATACTTCCCCAAATACTTACATTAAAAAATTATTGATAGTTATTTTAAGTGCTTCCTACCTACTCGTTAAAATATATCTTTCAAAGATCTTCATAAATTAATAATGGTTGGCTTAGTTCCAGGAACTGTCTGTTTCTGGAAATTGAAGTACATTAATATTTTTCTAATTCAAAGTTTAATTCATATCAATCCTGCCCAGTAATTCTGAACTCTTAAAGTTTTTATGGAATGATTTAAGCCTTGGACTTGGATACCTGTCTGTGTGTGTGTAGATTTTTTCGTGTTAGGCCTTAATTGATCACTCATCTTGGCGGGAAAGGGGACAGAACAGGCTGACGGTGGAATATGGGTTAACTCAGTTTCTGAACTCTGTAACAACAGCAGACCCTCCTCTGGCATGAGGCCTGGGGTTTGCTCTCCTGTGGTCAGCTGAGGGCACACACTGGCTGTGGTGGGAGGATGCCACAGACCAACAAAGAGGTGACAGACTTGGCAATAAAACTCGGGCCTCTCAGGTGCCACATGACTTCTCTGTATTAGACGTTACCATGGTGAAGGCAGATTAGTAGAGCAGTAACTCTGTTTAAGGCTTATGGAAGGTCAAGAACATGTTTCCTCTTAATGAAAGCTCTAATTTGCACAATGGTTAACACTGGAGACATAGCCAAAGGTACCTTTTTAGCATAAGCTTAGGAGTTGGTAGTCTTTTCCAGGAAGAGGATTCTAGATGTTATGATTCCCCACATGCCCTGGGGTAGGTCATACATCCCAAACCCAGAAGGGGGTGGGCAAGGCCTTGGAGCCACAGGAACTGGTCAGTTTAGGAATTCTGTCCCAGTCCTCCTGCATCCCCAGTGCCCTCAGAGCCAGCCCTTGAGGCCAGCACATAGGCCCGGACCAGACAGGCCTCCGACCACCAGTCTGTGATTCCTGCTCGATCTGGTCAACAGCTGCCTGTGGAAGGGCAATAAAGTCAGTTCTACCAAATTTAGAAATTTAAATAATTATTATGCCAGAACTGACCTTTCATTCAGAAAGATAAATATAACTTGCTGAGTATCTCAGATTCCTTAATTTTTATTTTTATAATTTTATGAAGATTTATTCATCCAGGTCTTATTTGCCCTAAAGCATGTCAGATGAGAGTAATGCAATGTTTCTCAAGTTAGGTTAATGTAAAGATCTATTTTAAAAACAAGTATCCTCAGACCCTATAACTGTGTTTAGATTCCCTTAGTTCAAAACTTAAAAAAAAAAAAATTAGTCTTAAACTGTGGAAATGTTTTTTAATTGCAAGTAATTGCTCCAAGAGTTTTATATTTAAAACTGGTTTTAAAAATGTTTTCACATTATCATCAAAATGAGCATATAAAATTTAAAATTCTCATAAGCCTTGCAAATCCCTAATACTACACGGGGCTAGTACTGACAATGCCTGGAACATGCCAATCACCACCTTTTATGTGGCAAATAAGTACCGGGCATGCCCAAAAAAGTGACAGGCTAAGGGACCACTCGATTTTTTAAAATTGAATGTATTGGGGTGACATTAGTTAGTAAAATTATATAGATTCCAGGTGTACCCTATTGGAGAAGCAAAGTTTTATGAAAAACAGTTATGTTAATTACATACTTAGGAGACATAAAAAATCAGTATATTAATATTTTCCTGCTTGATAAACTTTGCTTTTTGGATTTTTACTAACGCGGGTTTATAAATGATATATGTATGCTTATGAACTCAGTTACAGTAAGAACCCCAACCTAGCAACGACAAAAGGTCTTAGAGAACTACTGTGTCCTCCCCTAAAATATTCTGTTTCTTCCTCTTTGTAGAGGGCATGCTGGGCTAATAGATCATTGGCCCAAGGAGCACACTTTTTCCGATGTCCTAGCAGGAAAGCTTGCCTGTGCTAGTCAAGAAGAGTGTCCCCATAAAAGTAAAAATAGCACAGAGCTCTGGTCTGGGCAGTTGCAGGCATCTTGGAGACAGATCATGTACACATGATCTGGTGCTGAAGGCCAGGGTAATATTTCAGCTTTATGAACATTTATGAGGACAAAGAGCAGTCTCACTCGATAGATGACCTATTTTAGTTTGGACGCAGGCTGCCGCAGTCAGGATGGAACAGGCCTTCAGGGGTCTGTTGGCTAAGCCCGCCTGCAGGCCCTGGACAGCATGGAGGGCGGGGAATCCAGGGCGGGGTCCCTGTGGGCTAGTTTAATTTTCATCACCGTGTGAAGGGCTGACGCGAGTTTGCGGAAGGTTGCCGTTACCTGTTCAAAAGAATGGAGTCCACTTTCTTTTCCTAATCTCACCATATCTTCCAAAATGGCTTTCTTCACCTCCTGAATGGAATCATACAGGCAAAATTACTATATCAAAAACACTTTTCATACAGCACGCTCTCCCTCCCACACCTCCGGCAGGGGCCGACACTGCCTGGGAGCATGCCAACGCCACCTCTCATCTGGCACGTACCAGGCATGCCCAAAGGAGTGACAGGCTAAGGGACCCCTTGATTTTTTTCTAACTGAATTTATTGGGCTGACATTGGTTAATAAAATTATATAGGTTTCAGGTGTACAATTCTATAAACATCATCTGTGTACTGTATTGTGTGCTCAGCACCCCAAGTCAACATGATGCTTTTAAGTGGCCCCTCTGGTCAGCCTGGTGAGTCCCAGAGGCCCCGTAACCCCCAGCAGAGCCCAGGACCCAATGGAATCGATAGGGCCCGTGGTTGCTGCTGAGGAATGGACCATGTGACCGGGGGGAGGGGGGAGGAGGCTGAGAAAGAGCACAGAGATCCTCTTCCAGGGGTCCCTCCATGTACACGAGGTTTCTGTAAGGTATGAGTGCCTAATGCTCTAAGCATGAAGAACCGTGTTACTTTTTCAATTCCATGACTGTCTCTCCAAGCCCAGTAGATACATAATCCACCTCACACTCGGGGAGAGCTTGGCCAGGACGGAGAAGGCCTCTGTCACAGCTGACACTGCTGTTAACCAGCTGTGTGGCTGTGGGCAGGCCGCCATCCTCTGTGGCCTCTCCTGCACGCTGCGACACAAGAGGCCTGGACAAGCTTCCTGTGGTGACTTCTGGCTCGAAAATTCAATAGTTTCATCAAACTTTCTAAGAAAAAAGACGTGAGCCTGGTTTAGAATTCCCGCCATGTATAAAGTTAGAAATTTCCCTACATGTTCGAATTTCGCCAGTTGCTGTTTTCCTGTTCTCACAATGCAGTATCAAAAAAGGTCCAGCAACCTTTTAGGAAACAGCCCCCCGGTACAGACCTTATTTGCACAGAGCTCTGTGTACGTCCCTTCAATCCCTCTCTTCTGTGCCCAGGAGGGCATGACTTCGGGGTCAGGCACAACAATGCCCACCAAAAAGGCCTGCAATTCCACACACACACACAAAAAAAGCAAGTCATGACAAAAGCACTTTTCCCCTAGTCACGATATTTATTTTGATTTTTTTCTAAAAACATTATATTTTTGAAAAATTTCATTATTTCCAGGGAAACGGTAGTATCTTTAATTTTGTATCTATTTCTATTGTATAGATACAAAATTAAAGATACTACCCTGTTTCCCTGGAAATAAGACAGTGTCTTATATTAATTTTTCTCCCAAAGTTGCACTAGATCTTTTTTTCAGGGGATGTCTTATCTTTCCATGCGCTAGGTCTTATTTTCGGAGGATGTATTATTTTTGGGGAAACACGGTAGTACAAGATATACCAATCACCAAAATAAAACAATTGACAAAAGCTTTTTATAATCACAAAAGCCCTTATATTGTTTTTAAACATTTATTAGAGTTGACATACAATATTATATTAATGAAAAAAGTTTTTAAAGTGGTGATCTGTAGTCTAACAGTAAAAGTAAGTATATGGCTATATTATGAAATGTTTCCACCAATATATCACAGATTCTTGACTATTTTCTGATATTTACCTAACTTTGTAAAAAAAATTAATAAAGCATGAACCTAAGGGGATTAAGCATCAATAAAGTTAGACCTACATGTACCTTTATTTCTCAAGCTAAATTCAAATGAGTACATCTTCAGGATGGTAAACAAACAACTCTATGAACCAAAATATGTTTCTCAGGATTTCATGACATTTTAAAATTGTTTAATTAATGTGGTCTTTCATCTCATTGATATGGTTCATTTAATTATTAAAAGTAATTTCATAATATTTAATTATAGCAATCCAATTAATGCAAAGATTATATTCATAGTGATCTTTCCAATTTTAAATCTAAATGATGTTGAAAACAGAATAATAATAATAAATCCTCTCCAAATAATTTAATCCTAAACCACATTAAATAACATATTCGCTTAATATATTAGGCTATATCATCATCAGTGCCATTTTTGCAATATTATATCTATTTATCTGTAAAGCTCATTTGCATATTTCAAAATAAAAACAGTAGAAATTCTGAATTTTACTTAAACTTATTTCAAAATTCTTCTTGGAAATAGGTAGGACATTAGTTAAAAGTAATGGATACAAGCCCTGGCCAGGTAGCTCAGTTGATTGGAGCGTCATCTCAATGCACCAAAGTTGCTGGTTCGATCCCCAGTCAGGGCACATGCAAGAAGCAACCAGTGAGTGCAAGGATGAGTGGGACAACAACTTGTTTCTCTCATAAATAAGTAAATAAATAAGTAAATAAATAAGTAAATAAGTAAATGCAGTGGGTAGAGCCCTGGCCAGTCTGCTTAATGGTTAGAGCGCTGGCCCCCGGACTGCTGGGTCTCAGGTTCAATTCCTCTCGAGAGCACACACCTCGGTTGTGGGCTCCACCCCCAGCAGGGGATGTGCAGGAGGCAGCTGGTCAATGATTCTCTCTCTCCCTTTCCCTTCCTCACCTTTTCTCTCTAAAATCAATAAAAATATATTTAAAAAAATATCCTCGGGTGAGGATTAATAATAGCAACGACAAAAGCAGTAGTGTACAGCTCAGGGAATATAGTCAATATTGTAATAACTTTGTGTGGTGGCAGATGGGTCCTACTAGGCTTACTGGGGTAATCACGTTGCAAGTTATGCAAATATCAAATCACTGCATTGTACATCTGAAACTAATATAATATCGTATGTCAACTGTAATTGAATAATAAAAAAATTTTAAAAACACACACACACGAAGTTAAAAGTAGTGGGAGTGTCCATTACTATAACTTCAAGCAACTTATCGCCTAGTTGCAATTTATCAAACCCCACATAATTAAGATTTCTTCTTTAACAAGGAATTTTCTCTCATAATCTAATATGTAGATGAATACAGTGTCTGATTAGAAATTAATGTTTACTACGTAATAAATAAATTTGGTACTTAATAAGACACCAAATACTTAGGAATTCATTCTGGTTAACTCTGCTTTTCAGCAGGCCCAGCATCTGTGGGAGGGCTGGAGCGCAGCGGACTCACCTGTAAGCTGTCCCCGTGGACGTAGATTTGTGCCACAGGATCACTCCGGGAATAGATGTTCTCAATCTTCTCAGGCGCAACGTATTCTCCCTGAGCAAGTTTAAATATGTGCTTCTTCCGATCAATAATTTTAAGAGTCCCCGCCTGTGGAGTTGGACAAACAGCTTCATAAAAAGATGGCATCCTCTGAGCCTCAAGCCATCACTCCATAGTGCCATAGTCCCTCCCTCCTGTCCTGCCCCACCCTGCAGACTCCACCCAGATCTGCTCCTCTGTGACTTCTCTGCTCTTGACAGGCACTGTGCACACAGACTGATGACTCAAGCTCTGCCCTGAATGACCTCAGCATTTACCCTCTCCTTTGCTAGCCCTCCCACCCTGCCACCCTCCTTCCCACCAGGGCTTCCCTCTCGCCCAGCCCCTTGCTCCAGCTGTCCCTTTTCTCACGGCATCTTCAGATTTCCCCTCTTGGGCCATGCTCAGGACTCTCGCCCCAGCTACTGCCCCAACCCCAAAGAGTGCCTTCCACCCACAGCACACAGCCCCTAGTGAGTCCCTCCTGACCAGCCGGGTGGCCAGGGCCTCTGCAGTGGGCAGGCCACCCTTGGGCAGTAAGTGCCTGTGCTCCTGGTCTCCAGGACTCCCCTCACCACCATTGGCATGCCCCTCGAGGTTAAGCACCGTCTATCTCTTCCTTGGCTACTCCCACGTCTGTCTAAGCCGACAGCCAGACCTGTCACTGAGTGCCAGACCCAGAACTTAACTCTCGTCAGAAACAAGGGTGGTTGCATATGCAACAGGCCCCCAAAGGAAGCTCCTCACTGCCCTCCTCACGCCTGTCCCAGTCCCCAGGCCCTAACGCTGGAGATGGCCTTGCCATTTGCCTCTCCTGGGACTTCCAGCAGTCAGGCTCACCCACCCTCGCTCACAAACCTCTCTCCATCGAACCACTTCCAGCCCTTTGCACACACTCTGTTCAGGCCCCATCGGTACCAGCCACCAGAACCAGAGCAACCTCTCCAGAAGAGATAAGCAAGGAGGCCCTGCTTTGCTCAAAAGCCAGGCTGGACAACACACACTTGCCCTACACTGGCTTCTTTGGTGTTCATGGCACACTAGGCACTGGGTGTCATCGCTTCCACGGCATAGATAAGGAAAGGGAGGATCAGAGAGGTTACTTCACTACCTCAAAGCCACACAGCTAGGAGGTAGGGGAACCAGGATTTTAATCAGGTCTTTCTGGGTCAGAAACACATACCTTTTTCCTTGTATCTAGTACTATTTCTAAACACTACTTTAAAAATTGTAACTCCCACAGACTGCCTGCCTGTTGTCTTGGGCTTTGAGTGCAAGCAAAACACTACTCCAGGTGCTTCACATGAATTCCTTTACGTGCTCACAACACCCTGCAGGGCAGGTGGTTTCATCCACGTTATGGGGCATCGCTGGGAGAGCCAAGGCTTTGTGAGGCTTTAAGTTTTTTCCAACTTTGAGGATCCTCTTTAAGAAAAAAGATATAAAATGAAGTACAGAACCTTGGACGGGGCCTATGCAAGTGAAGGGACCTGAAGCCTAAGCTTTCTTAGTTGATGGGACAACCTGCCCTCCATCAGCGTCCAGGGCCCCGCTGCCTTCTCCCATCTGCCTCTTCCGCACCCGTGGGCCCCCAATTAGAACCGATAGCTTCACTCCACCATGTCTCTCCACTCAGCACGTGCTATTACTCCTGCCCCGACTGTCCTTCCCAGTCTCTCCTCCTCGGGGCATATCCTGAGCTCAGACCCAGCAGGCACGGGTCCCCCTCTGCCTTTCCCCAGGTGAGCTTGGCCCTCAGTTCATGCGACCGCACTGAGCACTGTCTAAGATTGGACGCTGTCTAGAGACCTGTCCCTCCCTGAGCAGAGTCCCTGGCCCAGGGCACACATCAAGGATACATCCTCAACTGCTGCAGGTTCGAGCGTTTCTCGAAGGGAAGCACACAGACCCAAGCAGGGGCAACCAGCTCGCCAGCCCCGGAGAGAGCTCACCGCCACTCGCGTGACCAGTAAACTCAGCTTCTCAGAACGCCCGCCGGAGCCTGGGCGAGACTCCCTGGGCGGGCTGCGTCAGGCAAGGGCTCTCCGTTTCAGCAAACAGAGCCTTTTTTCTGCTCATAGCTTTCACCTAAGCAGCTCCCCCGCGCCAGGCTTTGTGCTAATTGCTTTACATGTATCATCTCACTTACTCCTCACAGTAACTGTGCACGTAGGCAGTGGTGTTATCCCCATTTTATAAATGACAGAATGAGGCACACTAGCTGATTTGTGGGCTGTAAGGTGGGGGGCCACAGCCAAAAAGTTTCCCGCAGTCTCACCCTCTTATCCTACAAGTGGGTCCCAGAGTCCCAGAGACGGATGAGGCTCTGCCCATGGTCACGAGAGCCCCTGCTGTCGGAGCCACAGGGGCGCAGCGTCAAGCTTTTCCTCCTGCTCAGGGCCACCTCTCGGCGGGGGCCAGCGGCCGGGCTCCCACCGCGGCCTTCCTCAGGCCTCCCAGAACTATGAGCTCCTGCTCCCTGTACCCCGCCTCCCGGACTCCGCAGCCCTGCAGGCCTTTCTGGAGACCGTGAAGGGTAGGCTGTGGGCCCCACATTCCAGCTGTGCCCTCCCACAAAGATCCCTATCTCCTGCCTCAGGAGGATGGAGGAGAAAGCGTTGGGGGCGAGGTACAGACAAACCTCTTAATCCCTGGAGGTGTTGCCGAGTGGCTAGCTGTCAGGCAGGACAGGGAGAAGACCCCTGCCTCCGAGCGCATCAGATGTGCACCCACCACCCAAGCGCTTGGAGCTCCAGGCTTCCCCACACACGCACCGGCAGCCACTTCCCAATGTCTCCGGTGTGGAGCCAGCCGTCGCTGTCCAGGGCCTCCTTTGTCCTCTCTGGGTCTTTCAAGTAACCTTTGAACACGTTTGGTCCCCTCACACATATCTGCGGGGACAAACACCGGTTTCTCTCAGCCCACAGCGTAACGGTCCCTGATGGGAGGCTGTCAGGGGGCAATTGTGCGCTACCCCCCGGGAAATCCGCTGTGCAGATGGCAGTGATGACAACAGGGGACAGCAACAGCCACCGGCTGCCGGAGCTGTCTCCAGCTTTCGCTCGAGCAGCATCCTCCCCATCTTTCCCGTCTGCCCGGGCTGCCCCAGGCCTCCCTCCACCATCTCTTCTTTCTTGGGAGCCCCCTGGCCTTCGGCAGGTGCTGCTGTGTGACACAGGATGGGGTCACATCAGATACTGATGTCCAGCTGATTCCGCCAGAGGCTCAGCCGCTGCCTCACCGGGCAGCCGGGCAGCTTCTGCCCACTTGCACGGAATGAATGAGTGAGCAGCGACCCCTCCTGGCCTCTCTGCAAACGGCTATGTTTCTGCTGGGACAGATCCACAGCAGCAGACGGTGCCACTTAGGGAGAAAATAGGATTTTTTTAAAAATTCGAAAATTAAAATCTTGAGTTAGACCTGCCTTGCCATAGCTTTGTTTCATAAACAGAAGAGGGAGGAAATACTGAATTCAGTTGAGTCAAATTAAGCAGTAATTTAGAGTGACTGACTACACAGAGGGGAAAAGAAAAATAATTCCATTTTTTCCCTTTACTCATTACATGCAGCCGGCACAGACATGGATGGCGAAATGCTGAAGCTTACCTCTCCCTCTCCTTTGCTGGTCCAGTAGTTCAGTTCCATGACATCCACGAGCTTGATATGGTTGCAGGGCAAAGGCGCTCCCACGTGCCCTAGAACACCAGAGCAATGCGGCCTTGGTCAGTGTGCAGGTCCATGTCGCACTGAAGACCCTCCATGCCATGTGATCCCCCACCCCCAAGTGGTCAATGTAGGGAATTATGGGCGAAAAGCAAAACACATTTAGACAGGCATGTGTCATAGGCAAGCGCTGACAATAAAACAGAAAGGAGAAAGGAGAGGCCAGCCTTTGCGGGCCTTTGTTTTACATCTGATTCCTAAAGAGCTGGACGGGCACACCAGCCTGGCACCAACCTGCAGAGTCTGTGGGGCTCACACCCACATCAACCACACAGTAAGGATTTTTTTTTTTTTTTTTTTTACAATCGTGCCCCTATTGAGAGACGCTCCCCTGTGTCAGATGAGAAGTGTTGGCTTGGGGTTCATAAAATAAGGTCATCATTGCTTTTCCTCCAGTCACCAGACTGTTGACCAAGGTGCCCAGGAATCATCTAGAAACCTTGTTAAACTGCAGATTCTGATTCAATGGGTCTGGGATGGACCCTGAGAGTCTGCGTGTCATACAAGCACACAGGGGATGATGCTTCTGGTCCACACACTACACTGAGTAACAGAGGAACAGAAATCTGGGCAAGGTAACTCGACCCTAAAAACAGCTTCTATTGATAATTTTCTTGATCTTATACATTCCAGTCACATTCACTTTAATACGGTGCTGGCCAAGGTCCTGAAGGGACAGTGAGCGACAGAGCCGTGGTGATAAAAAGTGAGGTGGTGACACCGTTTTCTCTTTTAAAGGAATTTTTAAATTTTTTTAATTGTGAAAAATCTTCCACAATTCGTACAAAGACATCTATCTTCTCATATGCAATAGCCTTTGCAAGTTTTTATGGTAAGGATGAATAAAAAAGGCAAAACTCAAAAGTGTTACATAGGAACATGTAGAGAATGACATAGAGGGAAGAAAGTATCCAAAAGGAAGGGCATACGTGAGAGTGATTGGCAGATATGATGGCAACAATAAGAAAAAAGTTAGTGAACCAGGATCCCAGAAGACAGTCCTTGTAAATTTACCCATGATAGAAAGATCAAAGAATTTATACACCAAAGGCTTTACTCAGCTAGAATTTAAAAGATAAGACTCAGGGAAAAAAATGCTTCTGTACTTGTCTTGGCCAAATCAGACTTTGATTTAGATTCCACCTATCATGTTTCTGCTGACTACCTCAAGGTGCCCTGAAAACAGGATTTCATTACTGGGCATATTTCTTGTGTATGCCCATCATCCCAAGTTTTTCTAGTTTGCAGTTGAGCAAACTAAAGCATGAGAGTGGAAGCATAGAGGAAGTTGGTGCCCTAAAGGATTCTTTTACTGGATGGTTTTTAGTCTTCTAGTATCTGGTCTAAATGTGTGATAGACAATACAGGGACTACCTGCTGCTTCCTCCTTACCCTGAAAGATGAGTCTCTTCAGAGTGAGGCAGTGGATGGGATCTGCTCCTTCCTGAGGCTGCTATTGCCCTCTAGACACTAATGTCATAGAAGATTGTAGTGTCCAAGGGCCTTGGAAATGGCCCTTTAATAAATAGTGCTCTGGCTATTAGGAAGTTGCCTCTCTAATTAATAAATAAATTTAAAATAAAATAAAATAAAACAAAACCACTACAAGTGCTTGGCTGGTGTGGTTCAGTTGTTGAGCATCAACCTATGAACCAGGAGGTCACAGCTTGATTCCTGGTCAATCTTCATAGGGGGCGTGCAGGAGGCAGCCAATTAATGATTCTCTCTTATCATTGATGTTTCTTTCTCTCCCTCTCTGAAATCAATAAAAAAAATATTTAAAAATAAAAAATAAAGCAATTATAAGCAAGGCTGTGTGGTATTCAGAATCTATGAAATCTAGTATACTGACATTATCATTTTTCCTGAGTTATATTTTGGGATCTATCACTTCTTTATTTTTATTTTTATTTTAATATATTTTATTGATTTTATACAGAGAGGAAGGGAGAGAGATAAAGAGTTAGAAACATCGATGAGAGAGAGTCATCGATCAGCTGCCTCTTGCACACACCCCACTGGGGATATGCCCGCAACCAAGGTACATGCCCTTGACCGAAATCGAACCCGGGACCTTTCAGTCCCTAAGCCGACGCTCTATTCGTTGAGCCAAACCAGTCCCAGCTATTTTTAAAAATATGACTTACATTTATCTATAAAATAAAAGGACAAAGGCAAAGTAAGAAAATACAAAAATATGTAACAAAGAGAACAACAGACCCATAATGGTACAACCTAGACATAACCACCATTCATGTATTTCTTTATTTCTGCTTTTTTTCTGATGTGCCCTTGTATATTTACTTTCCCTGGGAAAACTTTGTAGCTGTTTTAACTCAGCAGTGCCTGCTGAACCATCCCTACCTCTCCTGGCCATCCTACCTGAGGTCCAGTCCCCAGGTGTGGTGAAGGTACATCCAGCTGTGCACTCCGTTTGGCCGTAACCTTCATAAACCTTCAAGCAAAACATGGAAACCACAGTGTAGGCACACAGCCCACTAAGCTCCCACCTGACACCTGCTGCTCCATGCTGGGCGTGGGGGGGGGGGGAGGTGCTCCAGAGGCAGGTAGACCCAGGTGAAGCTGAACACAGATAACAGGGGTGGCTCCTGGGCTTGGAAGAAGAGCTACTTTTACCACACTTAGTTGGTAAGCTTAAGTGGTTTGGGGTAAAGATTTCTGACCTATTTTCAACTACTGACTCTATTTTTTATTTGTATAATATATATGAAAGGCAAGTACTTTAAAATCTACTGTATAGTTTATTTGTCTCTGTAAGACATTCTCCTCAGAGCCTTGTGTGTTTGCAGGAATAAACCACGTGGGAGAGTCTGCTCTTAGAAGTAAGTGGTCAGGTCACGTTGGGGTAGAAGAGGCCAGGGCTTTGAACACAGGAGAAATGAAGCATGCACATGGATGAAACAGATGCGCCTGCTTCACTTAAAACCCTTCTGTCACAGCCATGTTACTATCCCCTGCACATGTCAAAACTCAATAAAATTTAATCCAATGGGTCAATGAAGGAATGGCAAAACCTATTGAGTCAAATGACAAAACACAAATGGACTTTCAGCGCCCCCTCCCCAGTGCTCCTTTTCCGGGTTGGGCGATATTTTACAGGATGAAGAATGCAGAGATGCTGTTACAGGCATGCTACAGACCCCCCAGCACACTGCTGCTCCACATACAGTTTATCAGACTGGATGCACCCGGGCTTTCCAGTATGTCAAAAGGTCATACTGGCTTTCAGTGGCACTGGGATGTGTTCATCCTCAGAGGAATTGAGCTTCTATCAAACTAAAATCTTGCCTCTAGAGTCTTCCCCTGTCCTCACACACATCTTACTGCCCCCGTCCCCCCCAAAAGGCCACATGAAGGAAATACCTGGCACCCCAAGGCTGCCCGAAGGAATCCCAGGACTGTTGGTGACGCGGGGGCTGCTCCAGTCACAATCATCCGCACACGCCCACCGAGGCTGGCCTGTGGGCGAGAAGAATCTGCCAAAGTTTGTGCCTCAGCCGAGGTCAGCATTCAATAATTGGACCCTACTTATGATCTAGGGTAGGGCTCAGAGAGAAGGCCTCAACACAAGCTGAAGAAGTCTGTTCTTCAAAATGAACAATGCGATCAGCTGTACAATATGGCCAACTCTATGATGTATTTTGAGATAAGTGCCATTAATCTATAATTTTGGTTCTAGTTTCCTTAAAATACACAGCTATTCCCTTACTCTCCCATCATCTGCAACCATCCAAAAACAATTACTTAGGACAATTCCTTCCCACTTCCACATTAATGGCCTAGCCTTTTTTTCATTTACAAATCAATACTGCTCTATTTACTATCCAGTGGACAAAGAGGACTTTATATTGTTTATGGAAGTTGAGCCAAGAGAGTTTAAATATTAATTCTCATAGCTAAAAATATAGTAAGAAAAACTGAGCAATGATACTAATTAACTACACATTCCTTGAATAATGCAGGACTTAGAAACTTCAGTGAGGATCCAGAGATGAGCAATTCATGATCAGCTGGTTTGGGAGCAGCTGAAGGGACAGGACAGAGGAAAAGCAAAGGGAGATTCTGGGGCTCAGCCAGAATGGCTGTGATTGGGTGTCGACCTATGAACCAGGAGGTCACAGTTCAATTCCAGGTCAGGGCACATACCTAGGTTGCAGGCTCAGTCCCCAGCGTGGGGCATGCAAGAGGCAGCCAGTCAATGATTTTCTCTTATCATTGATGTTTCTATCTATTTCTCCCTCTTTGAAATTAATTTAAGAATAATTTTTTTAAAAGGCAGATTCTTGGCTATCCAAGAACTTAATGCTGCTAGAAAACCACTGTGGCCAGAGCTACGGAAAGGACCAAGGGGACCCTCAGGCCCCAGGAGCTCTTTGGCGGGCCTCACCGCCAGGGCACAGCTGCCCCGATGCCTGTGGAAGTCAAGCGACCTACTTTCTAGGAGTCCTCCCTGCTGCTTGCCTTTTGACCATACAACACATCTCCAAATAACAGAAACGAGTCCTTTAAGATCTCAACAGTAGCTTCAGCTTTGATTTCATGACAAAATGAGTTATTATTTTATAAGATTATAGGGCACTGGGATGAACTTCTCTAATTCTTCTGTAAAGTCACCCATTAGACACTTGCGTGTCTAGAATCACTTGTTCATTCTCTTACCTGAACCTTATTAAAGAAGATTCCATCCCAGATACTATCACTCCTGATGATTCCACTCTGGACTTCAGCATGTTTACGCTTTGCTGCAAACTCCAGGAGCCAGCGCTTCAGTGGTGTGTTTGCCTGGCTGAAGATCTGAGGAGCACAAGTTAGAAACAGCTGCTGGGCCTGTCCCACCTCTAGACACCCCTCCCAGGAAGAAGGTCCAGACTATCCCACAGAGAAGCCACACTCCATTGGGCCCCTATAGGAGATCACTGAATGTATGATATCCAGTCCAAGGTCATTGCTACTGAGGTGTGAGCATATTGCGGGGCTAGTAATTCCTGAAAATAGGAAGGAAACAGGTGAGGATCAGAGGATACAAGAGGAGAGGCCATTTCTAAGACCTGGAGGAAGCTTGGAGAGCTTGCCTGGGGCTTTGGACTGCATCCACACAGGCATCTATCCACCCCTCAGCCTGGCCAGAGACGCCATGTGGGCTCACCTTGTCGTACATCCGGTTCAGCAGTCGTGGGACCACAGGGAAGATGGTGGGGCGTAGAGCCTTCATGTCATCCGAGAGGAGACGGATGTCTCCTTGGAAGAAGCCAACTCGCCCTCCGTGGCAGTAGACAACAGCCTGGAGGCGGAGGACAGGAAGGGAGGAGTCCCTCAGGGTGGGCACTCCTGGCCGCACTACAGAGCCATCCACAGTTCTGCCCTACATGGAGGGCGCCCAGGACCCCCTACCCCAGCTCTGACTGCTGCCATGAGACACTGAATACCATCTGAGGTGACAGCCCCCCTCCCTCACCTCTCCACCTTCCCACATGGTCCCGCTCAGGCACGGGGAGAAGCAGCAGGAGACGGGTGGGAGCCTTTGGGAGATATCAGAGCAGTGGGTTCCACTGTGCCTGCCCCTCCTGCTCAATCCCACACCCAGGTCCCCAAGCTGCACTACACTCTGTGGCCGGGTCGGTGTCAGGTCTCAGAGAGCCAGTAGTTTGCCTGGGACGCCTTAGCGACTCTGGAAGGGTGATCAGTGTCCCTGAGAACTGGCCATGCTGCTGATGTTGGCAAGGAGGCCAAGGGGAGCCTGCTGGCTGCTAGTGGGACTATCCATGTGCCAGCGGCCTAATATATGCTCCTTTAAAAAAATGTTTGTATTGATTTCAGTGAGGAAGAGAGAGGGAGAGAGAGAGAGAGAACCATCAATGATGAGAGAGAATCATTGATCGGCTGCCCCGAGCACACCCCCTACTGGGAATCGAGCTTACAACTCAGGCCTCTGCCCCTGGAATTGAACCCAGTCCCTCCATGCCACAGGCCAATGCTCTATTCACTGAGCCAAACCAGCTAGGGCTATGTTCCTTTCTTTAATGCTCATAGCAAAACTATAAGGAAGACAATATTTTATATTGCCATTTTATAGGCGAAAAACGCAATGCTGAGAGAGGCAAAGGGACCTTCCCAGTCACAAAACTAGCTCACGGTACTGCTGGCATTCTAATCTAGGCCTGGAAAGCGGAAAAACATGCCCTGATATGCCGTGTCTCCCCCATGGCAAGAGGGGAGCGGCTTAGAAGACAATTTGTTCACAGGATGGTCCCGGAGTGACACACGTGGGAGGATTCTTTGTGGATCCCCACCCCGCCAATACCTCTACCCCCACAAGGCCTGTCTCAGGGCCAATCACAACGCCAGTCCCATCTACAGCCTGAGGGGTCATGACAGTTTGATTGCTCACCTTTACTGCCTTGTTTTCTTCTTTAGGGGTTCCTGAGTAATGGAAGTTACAGAATATACCTGCTTTGGCCATAAACAGAGCTGTACTGCATAGAGCTGCTGTGATAAAGCACTTCTGCAAAGAGCTGCCATGCTCCCTGAGCAATGCCATCAGCTGGGGCTGCCTCTCTCAGCCCCAGTATGCCCACAGGTAAGACAGGGCAGACCTGGGATCTTCCCTGGAGCAGTGCTCCCAGGAGGGACAGGCGAGGTGGCCAAGATCCTCTGACCCCTGTGACCCCTGTGGTAACTTCTGAGAACAGGGCCGGTTAGGTCTACTTCCTGGCACCAGTGACAAGTGACACCCTGCTAGGGTCCAGGGTTCTGGGTTCTGGGCTCTGGGCTCTGGGTTCTGGGCTCTGGATATGGACTGTGCCTCCCTAAAGCCAGGGCCTTACCTGCACCATTCGCTCAAACATGTGTGCTAAAGGCAAATAGGAAATGTGCACATCCGCACAAGTGGGAACCCACTGACTCTGTAAGAAAACAGAAGGAGCCCAGGCAAGGCCCGGTCAGTCAGGTGGGTGTCTTACCTGGATCACTCTCTCAAACATGTGAGCCAGAGGCAGGAAGGAGATGAGCACATCGTCCTGTCTCGGAAAGATCACTTTCTGCAGGTGATGGGCATGGGAGACAGAAAGGAAAGAAACACTGACAGGAAGACAACAAGAGAGTCATAAAACAATAAAGAGAAAATGGTCCTGGAGGGGGAGGGCAGTGGGGAGATGGGGGGGCACAGAGAAAGGTGAGATGAGAGAGGAAAAAAATGAGAGAGAGGAGAGGGAGAGAGAGAAAAGGCGTAGAAAAAATAGAGGAAGGGAGGAGAGAGAGAGAGAGAGAGAGAGAGAGAGAGAGAGAGAGAGAGAGAGAGAGAGAGCAAGCGCGCGCGAAGGTGAAGAAGAGAAAGAGAGAGAGGAGAAAGAGAAAGAGACAGGGACAGTGCAGCATAGGAAGCGGTGTTAGGTCATAGCGCCAATGCGTCTAGGTTATCTGGAGAAGGGGAGTCAAACGAAGCACATATAAACCAGCAGAGCCGAGCTCCGCAGGGAAGTCTCCTCTTGGGAAGGGCCTGTACCTCACTCCAGTCAGTCGGCGGCGCCGGACAGCCTCTTCCCCCTCCCCACAGCTGCAGGGTCTGCCCTGGGCCACCTGGGCAGCCATTCAGAGGTGTCCGCTTGTCAGCCTTGCTAGTCCTCCCAGGAAAAGGGGCCCAGAAAACCCTAGATGGACACCAACTATGCCTGGGGTACACGCCCTGAACAAAGGAGGGGGCAAGGCCAAGCCCCAAGCAGATGGCTGAGTCAGGCCTCACAAGCCACGGCTTGGAGACAGGGCCTTCCAGGGAAGGAGAACAGGGAGCCCTGCTATGTCGCTGGAGCCCACGGCTCACGGCCGGACTGACCTCAGGGACGGCGCTGGGCGAGCGGGGCTGGACTCAGGGAGGAGCGTGCCTTCGGCTTTCCTTCGCTGGACTTCCCCTCTCTGTCCTTGTGCAGACACCTGGGCTGGCTTTTGGACAAGCTTGGACGAGGTCTGGGAACCTGGCTCCTGACCAGGGCTCTATCAAATAGCTAACTGTGTGGGGAATGTGCTCCTGGCAGCCATCGGCCACGGGGTGGGCGGTGGCTTTTCCCCAGAGGTGCAGAGGCCTCACTTAATGCAAAGGTACATCCCTTGCTCCTGAAGGAAACGGCAGGACATTCGGATACTCACCACGTGTGGAAAAAAGGTCCTTCTTTCTTAGCCACTCGGGCCAAGATATCAAGCTTTTACAACTTAGCTCTTTAAGGACAGCCTTATAAACCAGCAGTCGATATTGTTTCTCAAACTCTAGTAGTCCTTAAACGCAAAAGGACTGAATGAAACCCTGACCTACTGGAACAACAACTCAGTGGAGATTACTTTGTAAATAAAGGTTCGCACAGAGCTAGAGGTAGAACGGTTTTTGAAGTTCAAAATGCAAAAACAGGTTTGTGTGTTTTTTCCTTCTTGGGTCTTAGCACTCTCAGAAATCAACTGATTATGTATCAGGTGTGGATCACTTCAGTGTTGGGGGTTAAAAACATCTGTAAAAGTGGGGTGGCTCTAAAGAGAATAGAAATTCCTGCCTGTGAAAGGCAGCCCAGACTATATTAGGTGGAGAGTGTGTGTGTGGGGGGAGGGTGTGTGTGTGTGTGTGTGCTGGGGGGCGGGGGGAGGGGTGTGCGTGGGGGGGTGGGGGGAGGGGTGTGGGGGGGGGGGGGGAGGGGTGTGGGGGGGGGGGGAAGGGGTGTATGTGGGAGGTGGGGGAGGGGGGTGGGGGGCGGGGGGAGGGTGTGTGTGTGTGCGGGGGGGCGGGGGGAGGGGGTGTGTGTGTGCGGGGGGCGGGGGGAGGGGTGTGTGTGTGGGGGGGAGAGGGTGTGTGTGTGTGTGTGTGCGGGGGGCGGAAGGAGGGGTGTGTGTGGGGGTGTGTGTGGGGGGGGGGGGGGGAGGGGTGTGTGTGTGTGGGGGGGGGGGGGTGTGTGTGTGTGTGTATGCGGGGGGCGGGGGGAGGGGTGTGTGTGTGTGTGTGTGTGTGGGGAGGGTGTGTGTGTGTGTGTGTGTGCGCGGGGGCGGAAGGAGGGGTGTGTGGGGGGGTGGGGGGGCGGGGGGAGGGGTGTGTGTGTGTGTGTGAGGAGGGTGTGTGTGGGAGGTGAGGAAACAAACCCCCCAAAACCTCTGAGGTTTGAGGATTTCCTCGGGACCCCTGCATTAGTAAGTCGACTTTATTCACCTCTGTCACTTTCAGAAAGCCTGAGAAATCAGCCACCACGTTCCCGTGGGTTAGCATTGCACCTTTTGGGTTCCCTGAAAAGAGAGAGCAAAGAAGGCAAATTATTTGGAAGCTCAAGGGCGACTCCTTAAGAACAGCACCCAAGTCCGCAGTCCCAGACACCCAGCGCTGCCCACCCGCGCCTCTGGTTTCCGTCCACCATGCCTCCGGAGTTGTAGGCAGATGAATGCTGCTTCAGGGACCTTTAGCCTGTACTTGAAGCCCAGCTGGAGGCTCCCAGCAGCTTAGGCCCAGAAGGCAAGTGACACAGCGTCACAGGTGGGGGTGCCTCAAGGGAGTGGTCACTTGTGACCTGAGCCTCACCCTCCTGGCCTCCCTCAGGGAGCACAGGCTCCTGGCCCCCGGCCTCCTCCTACACTCCCAGCACCCTATGCTCCTCTCTGGGCCGAAGCAGATCTAGTGTCCAGAAACCTGCAGCCAGCTGTGCTGGCGGGAGACTTCTTTGCTGCATCCGGTACCTGGAAGGCCCAGGCGGTACCTGCAGCAGCCATTAGGCCCCATAGGAGGTCACTGAGTGAGCGTAATGAACAGGTAAGCAGAAGCACCCAGAGAGCTGAAGCAGCCCTCCTGCCTGCTCCTGGGCAGGACGGGACACGGATGGCCGTGCTTCCTCATGGCATGACCTTGCACTACTACCTGTGGGGAAGCCAGGGCTGACTCAGAGGACCAGAGGCCTGGCGGGGACCCAGGCCCGGCAGGCTGGGGAGGGGGGCTGGCTTGACCAGCCTGTTATGTCAGGGAGGACGCGGCGCTGGTGTGCTGCTGGAAGGTCTGACTGGGCTTACGTCCCAGCCTGGCCTCTTTCTGCCCACCAAGCCGTCCCTCCTCACTTCCCTTACCTGGAAAATAGGGACAGTGACACCCACCTCAGAGGACTTCTATATGCTTTAAGGACATAGTCCAAGCACAAAAGATATTAAACTACAAGTTTCCACTGAGCCAGCAGGTACAATAGCTGTAAAACTCCAAAAGAGAGTGGCCAGGCCATGTGCAGAATATCCCCCCCCCCCCCCCCCCCCCCAATATATCAAGTAAACCAATATGGTTTTTGCAACCCTCACCAGAAAGCTGTAATCAGGGGCTAGAAATGGACAACATTGCACTGAGTCAGCAACTAACCATGAAACAAAGAGCAAGTTTTAAATGTCTGCCTCAAACCATCTCCTGGCTGCCCCTTCTCACTCATTCCCCCTCCCCGTAGGAACCTTCACTAGCAAGGGAGGAGGAGGAACACCAGACAGGGAGAGAGGAAGGACGGAACTTCCGCGCCTTCCTCACAAGCCAGCAGCCAGCCCAGCCGGGAGGGCGGGGAGAGGTCGCAGGCAAGCAGACCGAGCCACAGCTTGGAACACTTGTAATTCTGAGTTAAGTCCCATCATAGCCGAGGAGAAAGTCTTTCCAGAATGATTCCACCACCAAAACCACGAGGCACATGTCAGGTTCTGACCATATTTTCCATCTCTCCCCACTGAAGCTGAGAGCTGGGACACTGGGCGTGGACCGGAAGCCACGCCCGGAGCTGTGATGCCAAGGACACACATGGCTCATGTGCTTCACAGGGAGATGTGACCAGAAGCACAGCACAGGCTTAGACCAACGTCAAGGAAACCCAAGTGTGCAGCCAGGCAGGGTGACATCAGGCAAGAGGCCTGCTCACTGCCCAGCTCTGTCCTGGCACCAGCCACACCACTGGAGTGGGAGGTGTGGCACTTATCGCTACCTTATTTTCTAGCTCTGTATGTCCTACTCTCTCCGACCCTCCGCTCCCCCCACCCCCACCCCCACCCCTAATCCCCACTACACTGCAGAACAAAGCCTGGGCAGGACGGCTCAGCTTTTCATTGATTCCATCGTCTAGGCAACCATTCATTGGATGTGAGGGGTGTCTTCTTCAGATGGGCAACAGCACATTTATGCATCCTAAGTTCTTTTCCAGATACGGGGACAGCCTCTGTGACCGAGTGACCCGTTAAAAGCCTGAGGGCAGTCTTGAATGGCAAGGGCCCAACGCGGAAGGCCATGGCAGTGACCTGCTCCCTAACTCAAGCAGCGCAGAGGGACATGTCGCCAAAATGTCAGGCTGTGAAACTCAACACAAAGCAGTATAAACCTGAAGGGCATTTCTGCATTCTGGATGTCAGCTCCTGGTGAGCGAGTGCTGTGTCACTTTTTCTCTAATGGCTCAGCGGGTGTTGGAATTCTCAAACCCACCTGAGTTAATGGCAGAAAACCATCTCGAGCCCCGGGAGCCCCGGCCCGTATGGCTCACTTGGCTGAGTGAGCGGGTGAACGGGGCAGCGCAGACGGTGAAAGACTGTGTCTGTGTGCATTCTGCCTCGCCCGGAAAGCCTTCGCTGTCTGTCCCCTGATGCTGATACGTGCGGCGCCCCTCTGTCGACACCAGGCTCACAGTGCATTCATCTCCCTTGTCCTTTTCCTGACAGCCTTCACCGTGGACCAGCTCCAGCCTGCAGAGCACCTGCACTCCCTTTCGCACACCTTCCCACCTTCCGCTTGGCACCTCTAACCACCCTCAGCACAGATGCGAAACCAGGGACAGCGGGGCAGGACTGACTTTCAGCCTCCCTGCAGACACCACCTCCGCCCCCCCCCCCCTCCCCTTCTCAGTCCCTGACACAAAGACCAGGAAACGAAGGGTAAGAGCTGCTTCTCCCAGGGGAACGACGTGACCCAGCAGCCCAGCCTCCTCGGGCTCCATCTCGGGGAAGTGGCAAGCCCCAGCCTGGACCTCCTAGCCCACGCCTCCCCTTCTGCATCCAGCCATCCTGTGCTGCCCTGCGCGGGGCCCATGTGTGAGAAAGCACTGGGAGTAGCGAGAGGGACCCAACATCTGGAGCCAGGCACAGAGCAAGGCTCAGCCCACTCCGGAGGGCACCAGCGACTTGAGCAGTCACCTGACAAGGCTGCCAGGGAAGGGGGCAGGTGGCCCCGGCTGGTGACTAGGTGCTTCTGCTTACCTGTTGTGCCGCTTGTGAAACACACAATGGACAGGTCGTTGGGATTTGGGGGCTGCAGAGGTGAGAAGAGATGTGTGTTAAAGAGACCGGATGTGGCCAGCCAGGGACTAAGAGCCCCGGGCCCCTCCACCAGCCAGCCTCTCTGTGTGCTGTGTGTGTCAGCACATCTGTGTGCCTGTGTCCTGCAGGCGGGCAAGTCCCCAGGAAAGGGGAAAAGGAGCTGGGGCACGGACATCCACCTGTCCCACCACCTCACACCCGGTCCTGCTGCCTTGAGTCTGGGGTGAAATCTAGGTGGGATGGGGCTGCAATGGCCACATCTAAGCCTCAACCAAAGATCTGACCTTTCTAGTGGATGAGACCCAGTTCCCTCCTTCCTTCCTTCTTGCTCCCCAGTGGCTGCGGCCAGGCTTGAGAATGGAACGTGTAGTCCAGGGAACTAAGCTGCCCGCTGTGGCAACAGCACTGCTCTGCACCAGGCCCTGGCCCTGGCCCCGGGCACAGAGTTCTGCGAGCCCACTGCAATTGCTTACACATAGAGGATGGCTTCCCAGAGAAGGGGACATAAGTAGAGATGGAAAGACAAGCAAGATCTTTCCAGATGAAGGGCAGGTAAGGAACTAGCCCAAACAGGCGGAGGCAAGAGAGGCGGGGGGCGCTGTTCTCAGAGCAGTTCTCTAAGTTGGGGCGCGATGGCTTCGAGGCTGCTGGGGAAGGGCCCTGGGAATCGGGGCGTGGCCTGCTCAGGCCTGCGGGGGAGAAAGCTCACGGGTGCTGAAGGCAGTGGGGAGGCCCTCGGGGCGGGAGGGCTGGAGGAAGGAGGCCTGTTAGAAAGCTGGAATCCCCTGCACGGCCCCTCCCAGGGAGCAGCCAGCCCCAGACCACGTCACTGCGGGTGGCACACAGGAAAGATGAACAAAGGCAGCATCGGCCACCAGGCTACTCGGCACCAGGGTCCACTACTGGTTTTGCTGCTGCTTCTGCTCATCCCATTCTCTGGGGAGTTCACTGCATTCGAAGGGAAAAGGGAGCCATCGGAAGGAAAAGTTCCCGGAGAACTAAGGGTGGCCAGGGCTGGCTGCCCTGTCTTCTTCCTCCCAAGCCTCGTGTTTTGGTACCAGGCCCTCTGGGCACTCCGAGCGGCATTTCCTGGGTTGCTCGAGGGCGTGGCCGATCGCTGTGGGGTGGTGGCTCTGGCCTGTCTGCGGAGCCCTGCGCTCAGGCCCCACACACCATTCTGCTCAACCGAGACCTGCTGGCAGGGGAGCTCACCACAGGTTCGTGAGGATTCTGTTGGCCGCACTCCTGGAGGAGGAAAATACCGATTTTAAGTGCTCAAAAGTTGTCACTGGTAATAAGATAAACAAACAAACAAACTGCACAGTATGCCTTGCTCCGGCACCAAGCCCTGAAGTTCAGGATTCTCTGCCTGGACGTGGCCCATGTCACCACCTCAGTGGCCTCTCCTCCGATGCACACCCAGGCCTGGGCTATCCCCCCTCCCCCCCAATTACAGATGGGGCCTGAGGCCCGGGGAGAGGCCAGGCGCTGTGCACATGCACAGTGGGGCAGACAGCTTGAGGTGCCCATGGAACATCTGGACACATGCTCAGGACAGAGTGGCTGGGTGGCCTGGGCTTACAGATTAGTCAGGCCTGGAGGGGCGGATAGGGGTTGCCAGCATCGGTGTGGCCCCTAAGCCATGGATGGTGCAAGTATACAGGCACAGGTACAGTTAGGAGCAGGGAGAAAGGAGGGGAACTGGAGGGCCCAGGGGCCTAGATCCCATAGGGCAGAATTGGGGCCAGCACAGGGCCTGAGGCCCCAAGGGCCAGGATTTCCCGTGCTGCTCCAGCAGGCACCAGCTGCCACTAACCTGAAATCTTCGGGGAGGCCATGCCCAGAAAAATCGATTCTGCTGCTTGCTCGGGGTCTGGGACTCATTTGCAAAAACCTCTCCATAACTCCTAGACCTCACGTCTACAGGCTTCAGGCTCAGGCTGGAAATGGGGAGGCTGACACCACCACTCCCCTGCTGGCGCCTGTGTCATTAACTGTGCCAGCCACTGAGCCTGTCTCCCATAGGACGCCTGTGGGCACCGACCACACCGGCCACCACCAGCCCCGCTCGGCCTGCTCTGTCTCAACCCTCACGTGGCCTGACAGCCCGTGGCACTACCTGCGAAGCAGATACTCGGAAACTCTGGCCTGGAGGCCAAATGAAGGACCCAGGGGCCTGGATCCCATAGGGCAGGACTGGGCTCAGCTGCCACAGCGCTGGGCCTGAGGGGAGAGGCGAGGCCTGTGCTGGCCCAGCAAACAGCTCGGAAAGAAGCAGCCCTCACCTCCACTGCCTGCATGGACTTAATGGCCACTCCGCACGCCTGCCCTCTGTCTTTCAGAGCTTCCTCAAACGGGTCCATGAGGATGATCATCTTGAGTCCCGGAGTCAGCTCCTTCTCCACGTGCTCCAGCAGGACCTGGGCCTTCTGAGGGTTGTCCACTATCACGATGCTGATGTTAGCTGCAGGGGCCACCCAGGAGAGCCAGGCTGTGACTGCGGGCCGGCTGCACATGCCGGGCTCCGGGACCGGGGACTGTGGGCGCCACCGCCGGTGTGTAAGGAAACAGGCAGGGCGGGCCCTCTGCATTTTACGTGTTGTGCACAGAGGAAAATGCATGGAGGCTGGACGGGGCCAAGGGCAGAAGGCCACGGCATCTCCTGGAGCGGTTTCCAAGCAGCCCTTTGCTGCTGGCTGGGCCCCTATCATCCCGGGTCAGCTGCAGATATTTCCCACCGCCAGCACCTGCCCCCACGCTGCAGTGACCCCCGAGGCGGGCAGCTCGTGTGCGGGCTGGTGCAGAGGCTCCTTCTCGGCAGCGAGGCCTTATGGGAGGAGCCTGGTGGGGAAGTCTAACTGGGGGCGACTGGACTCAGGAAGCCACTCAGGGGCCGAGGTGGAAGCCCCTGGTGCCCAGAGCGGAAGCAAAGCGCTTCTGATTAGCGTTAGAGGACTGGCATACCCTGAGAGGCTGAAGCCAGGGGCTGGATGCCAGTGGCTGGGAGGGGCAGTGGTAGGCTCACCTGTGTTGATGATGTAGTGGATGGCCCCAGGGCCCAGGGTATCATAGAGCGGGACCACCACCATGGAATACGTATAGCAGGCAAGCTCTGCGATGATCCACTGTGGAGACAGGGGAGTGGGGGGGGGGGGGGGGAAGAGAACACAGAGCAGATAGGAGGGCCGCACTGCCCTGAAACCCTGGCAGCAGGATCCTTGATCTAGATCCTGTGGTGAGAGGGCGCTTTCCTGGCCTCTGCAGGTGGCAGGGAATCTGTGAGGCCAATGGGTTGTGCCTGCTCATGCACAGGCTTCTAGACCCGTGGTCGGCAAACGGCGGCTCGCGAGCCACATGCGGCTCTTTGACCCCTTGAGTGTGGCTCTTCCACAAAATACTACGGCCTGGGCGAGTCTATTTTGAAGAAGTGGTGTTAGAAGAAGTTTAAGTTTAAAAACTTTGGCTCTCAAAAGAAATTTCCATCATTGTACTGTTGATATTTGGCTCTGTTAACTAATGAGTTTGCCGACCACTGTTCTAGACCATGCTTGCTCCAGGGAATTCTGGGACTCCAAACGGCCCCATGCCGATTTCCTGGGCTGGCATGGGCTCCTTCCCCAGGTTCTTCCTTTCCCCTGGCTCAGGGAGCTGCTGTGTGTTGGACTGGGTGGGGTGTGGGTGGAGCTTGGCTGGGAAGTCCGTTCCTGATTAGGGATAAAGCCAAGGGAGCAGAAGGGTGTGGCCCTACAAACAGCGGGGAGCAGGGCCCAACCTCCTCCTCCATTGATACTTCTAAAACCAGTCAAGGCAGATACTCACCTCTGGTCGATTCTGTGAAAAAACACCAATTAACTGATCTGTACTTGCTTTACAATCGTGCTGGAGAAGTCCGGACCCTAGAAATTCAGCCCTGTTGGCCACCTGCACACGGATATGGGGAAGAGATGAAAAAGCAAGGCGGCTTCTGCAGGGGAGGGAGACCCCCAGGTAGGACTCCTACAGGCGGGGAGACCTCCCCAACTCCCCGTGCAGGGGTCTGGCAGCCACGTGAGCTGCTGCCGGGAGTTTGGCAGACGGGCCAGGCAAGGGAAATGTGACCTGAGACCCAGTAGGGTGCCTGCAAGCCCTTCAAGTGCCAGGCCTGTGAGGACAGACAGAGCGGAGCCTGTCCCCTGTCACTCACCTCCTGGTAGGACAGCCACTGATAAGGCTGATTGGGCTTCCTGAAGCCAAGACACGGTCCATTCCCTGCAGAGAGAGAAACCCGCCTTGTGCAAAGGAGGAGGGCAGGGTGGAGGTGCCAGCAAACACCTGAATGGACACCCCAAAGTGTGGGGTAGCCAATGGGCCAAGTGACCCCCACCCCCGCTCCCTCTACAGCTGCCTATCTGACCTGCTGAACCCCCAGAAGCCTAAAGTACACACGTGCCTTCACCTCGGGGATCAGGGAGCGCCAGGAATGGGGGCTGGCACAGGGCTGGTCCTACCATGACCTGTGTGATGAGCCCCAGAGAACATGGTGATCTCTGCAACCACCTCCCTTCGGCTCATACCCTGGGTCACCCAGACATCTCAGAGGCTCGGGTTCAGAATCATGCCCAGCCAGTGGCCTGGCGGTTCAAGGCTGCCCAGGGGCTGCCAATGGAAGATACAGAGTGAGGGCTGAGAGACCACTTAAGGGCAGTTAGTCCTAGGGCTGGAACAAAGCTGAGGTCGACCTTTTGGTCACGTAACACAGCTACTTTCCTGATTGGACAGGCAGAGGACCAAGAGTGGCTTCTCTTCTCTGAACCTGGACGCCATTCATCTGCTCTGCCCCTAGCACCATGCTGGCTCACCCCCTACCTGCCACAGCTCCTCCACACCCCAATGGTCCCTCTCACCTGAGAGTCTAAGCCCACGATGGAACACCTGGTACATGGTCCTGGCATCACTGTAGTAGTGGGTGAGCAGATGAGGGCTACCTCCAACCACGGATCGCCGGGCCCCATCACTGCCCTACAAGCAAGCACAGGTCAGAGAAGCTGGCTGAGGCAGGCGGAGGCTTGAGGAGAGGGCACCAGCATGCTCCAGTCTGTACACAGCTTGGATACATACCCAGTTGGGGCTGGGACATGCTGTGTGCACTCATATGCATAGCCTATACACTGTATACACACAACCTATACACAAGTTCATGTACACATGGCTTGTACATATTTGACCTGTATGCACCCACACACCAACACAGGCTCATGCACACAGGCCCAATACACTGATCGATCTCTCTCTCTCTCTCTCTCTCTCTCTCTCTCTCTCTCTCTCTCACACACACACACACACACACACACACACACACACACAGAATCCACACACCAGGTGAACATATACAAATGTCCAGAATTCCACTGGCTGCTATAACACCTGTACTCCATTCATACAATGGAGCAGAGAGTGTTGGCTAGAGTCAGACAATCCCTGACTTCACAATCAAACCCCCTCAGCCCATCCATCACCTGCTGCTGCTATTCCCCTAGGCTGAGAATCATTTGGATGCCATCCATCATTCACATGATGTGACTTTTCTGAGGACTAGCTAAAGGTACTTTCCCAGGAGCCGAGAGGCCCAGGAGCTGTGGAGAGCACAGGGCAGTGAGGCCCTGGGCCCTCAGTGGTGTGGAACCAGAGTGGGAAGGCAGCAAACACCGTCTATGCCCTGAACTAGGGAGAGGAATTGGCCTCTTGTGCCTCCTCCCCTGCCTCCCTGCCACCCCTCCTCAGACTCCCCACACCCAGAACCCTCCAGTGCCACAGCCCCATCTCTTCTCTGAGCACGACGTGGGCTCCACTGGGCTGGCCCATGGCCTGCCATCTCTTGAAACATCAGGTCTCGGGGAAAATGTCTGTGAGAGCCATACAACAGCCAAACTCAAAACCAGAGGCAGCTCTCAACTGCTTTGTAACGGAAAGTTCTGCTCGTTCGGTGTCTGCTCCTGAGCACCTGACCCACCAATGAGGGAAGCTGGGACCATCAGAGGTGGACTGCAATCAGGGTGACAAAAAGGACAGAGCAGGAGAGCACGCCAGGGACAGAAGAGGTTCGGGTGTGTGTGTGTCAGGGAATGGCTGCTGAGCTGGGTTTTGAAGGAGGCATAGGAGGCAGAATGAGGAGCAGGAAATGGTAGTCTCGCCAGAGCAAGAGCAAGTGCAAATGCAAATGCAAATGCAGAGGCAGAAGACACAAGTGCATTTGGGAAGCTGCAGGCAATTCATGGAGCTCCAAGTGATAAATGGAGGCCAGAGAGACACAGATCAAGGCAAGGAGTCTGGCCTTTGGGTTGAGGGCAAAGGGGAACAGGGGAGGATTCTAAGGTGGGGTGAGTGACACGATCCAAATTATGTTTCTCACTCGGTATCACACAGCAAATGCTACCGGGCCCTATATGATCTGGGCCCCCTTACTCATTTCCTACTCTCTCCTTTGCCTACTCCGCTGCAGTCACTCTGGCTTTCCAAGCTCCTGGGTGAGAGGCAAGGAAGGGCTCAGTCTTCCAGGAAGGGTGGCCTTCTACACACTGTGCCCATGTGGCTCCCCCACACTGAACCAGGGCCACTCCCCACCCAGACCCTATCCAGATCACTGTCACCGCCAGCCCGGACACCCCACTTGCCACCTCACACCTGCCTCTGCCACAGTTACCCTTCTTCGGCACAAACTGTCCCTACCGCTGAAGACCCAAAACAAATCCATGCTGCTGTCCACGCCCCCCGCCCCGGGCCCTGAGTCCCTGCCCAGTTCATGTGACTTCGGCCTTGTTGGCCTGTCCAGGTGAGTTGTCATTCTAAACTTACCCAAAACAACTCGTTTGAATGCTTTCTCTATATCCTCCCAGCAAATCCTGCCACAGCCTTAGGAAGCAGTGCTCTTTTTATTACTCGCTTGACTGTGGAAGAAACTGAGGCTCAGAGAGTTAACACACTGCCAAGACCATAGGGCTAGGGAGAGGTAGTCAGCCTTCCAACCCAAGGTCACCAAAGGCCATTCCTGTCCCCACTCTGCTAGCCCATCTGCAGCCTCTCTCCACTGCCCAGCCATCCCATAAGGATCACCACTTCCCACTGCCCCCAGCTGCTTATCACACACCTGTACCTTTGCACACATCATTCCTTCTGCTGGAAAAGTGCCCAGAGGACCCGGCCCTATCTCTGCCCTCTCCCACCAGGCAGAACTCTGCCATGCCTATGCTCACCAAGATGCACCATCAAGAGAAAAAAGCCAGTGGACGCAGCATGATATCATTAAAAAGGGAGTGGCTACCTATACATTCTCCCACGGACAATTGTTAACATGGTTCTCAGGAGAGGATAACTGGGAGGCTAGGGGAAGACAGGGAAACTTCCCAGTTTGTGTCTCTTTGTTCCTCTTGAACTGTGTGAATATCTTATCTACTCAAAATAAACAGAATTAAAGTTCAGAAAAAGGCAATTTTTTAAAAGGCAAAATAAATTCCATAAGCTTAATAGGAAAATAAATCTCACTGGTCCTTCTGAACTTGGCTTAGAACACCCTTGTCCAGGGTGGGCCACTGCACCTTCTTCCTCTCGTGTGGCCCGGGAAGGCAGAGGGCCGGGGTGGGCTCAGCTCTGGGCCGTAGCAGCAGACCAGGGCTGGGCACAGGGAGGGTCTGGAAGGGAACTGACCTGCCAGCCACTTGAGAACTTGCTTGGGCCTCCTACTGAAGCACCAATGAGCCGAGGCAAACTAGAAGCCGAGGTCAAGACTCTGCCCAGGACTGAAAGTCTGGGAGAGACAGAGGAGCATCTAGTTGGAGACCCTGCCCAAGGCCAAGGAGGCTTGCTGGCTAGCTACCAGGGGAAATCAAGATTCTCTGAGCCATCTCGGGTCCAAGAATTTTCAATTTTGACTCCCACCTTTGAGATGCCTGCCCACTATTTTCCACAGCTGACTGCTGGAACGCTGCTCACCTCCACTTCCTCTGACTGCATCAGGAGATCGCACGGTGGTTGCAAGGCCTTGGGCCGGTGAGTGAACCAGTAGGCAAGGATGGCGGCCAGCGCGCCCATACTCATGAGGGTGGTGGCTGAGAGACTGTGGAAGAACTGGCCCACATCGCCCAGCTCGGCCAGCCGCAGCATCCTCAGAATCTCTTGTGTCTGCATCTTCTCCAGAAGCAAGATAATGAATTCTGCAGAAAACAAGAGGCGGGTGAGGGAGAAGGCCTGGGTGTGTCCTCCCACCTGTCTTGGATCACAAGTGACACAATGATCTTGGCCAGATATACTGTGGGGCAGGCCCTGGGACCAGTGGGGTGTACAGTCTCCTGATGCAGCACAGTATATCCCAGAAGCTGGATGCCTGGAAGGCGACAGGCCGGAACGTAGCAGTCACACCTGATAGTCAGTCATCCAGCCAGTTTTCCTGAGAACCATATGCTCAGGCCCTGGGCCACGCTGAAAGCTGCTTTCATATCATCCAGGGGTTTTAACAACTCTGGAGTCAATACTTTCTGAGTCCAAGGGCCCAGGTGCTCTGCCTCTGCTGTGTGGTCACAGTGTTTTGCTCCTGGGGTGCGGAGAGGGAAGATATGAGTACACCTGGTATAGTGCCCAGATCGAAGGGGTACAGAGTCCTTTCACTCCATCTCAAAGCTCCTAGCCCCAGGCCCTGACCTGAGGAAGACTGAGAAGACAAGGACCAGCCCTGACACCTACCTGCCAAGGGTCTTATGGGTGACACAAAGCAGGGTCTCCTCAGTCCCACGCCCTGGCCCACCATGGACTCCCCTCAAAGAAAAGTCAGAGCCAAAGACCTACCAGGACTAGAGGTGATGCTGGATGCCATGAGAAGTTGGAGTGGGGCCCAGACACTGCTCTGCTAGCCCCAGCCTGCTGACCACTATGCACTAGGACTCTGTACTTCCTTAGACCAAACACCAGGAGGCACAGCTGTCCCCACCTGTGCTGTCCTCCCTGGGATCCCATGAGCTAATGTCCAGAGGAAAAAGGAGGTGACAGAGAGGTATAGTTGTATGACATTTACAGGTCTACCAGCCCTGTGAGGCCTAGCAGGGGCCAAAGGATGAGGGGTGAAGGAGAGGGAGGAGGTGGCTCCAGGCTGTCCACAGGCACCCTCCACACTGTCCCTTGACCTTTGGAAGCATGGCTGTGGTTTCCCTTCTTGGGAAACAATAAGAATCCCAGCAGCCACTCTGCAGCCATGGGATACGAGCCAAACAGCAATTGCTTGACCCATGAGGGAACAGAGATCTGCTGAACACCAATAAATGGTATTTGTGCTAAATGGTAGCATCACCACACCAGAGATGAAGTCAGCGATATGCAAAGTCATTGCAGGGAAAGTGAGTAAGCTCCTCCGTTCAAATCCCTCCTCCTTCGCTTAGAAGCTACGCAAGGTTGAGCATATTCCACCTCTCTGGACTTCCACCTCCCCTTCTTTAAAATAGTGTAGGATCGCTCAGGCATGCATGTCAAGTTTCTTGTACTGTATTTGGCATAGAGGCAGGCTGGGTCTGAAGAGATGGCTAAGAGGGTGCCTGTCAGACCAAGGAGGCTGCTCAGCAGGTTGGCCCAAACACTGGGCAGAGGTGGCAGGGCCCAGGCACTATGGTCCTACAGGAGTTTATGCTCTACTGATGGTCCAGCAGCTGCCTGAGTCCAAGGTGCCCAGAGGCTCTGGGTACTCCTAGAGAGCAGAGGAAGTGAGCTCCTAGCCAGCCAGAGCATCTCTCTGAATTCCTGAGCCAGAAACCCACGTTTACCAGCAGCCTCCTTGAGCTAGATCAGTTCTGAGGAATGAACCGCTCCTGGCATGTGATCAAATCAAGGTTCTTCATCACCAACGCAGAGTGAGCCTGGACCACAGTGAACGCATCAAGGCAAACTGCTCAGCAGAGGGTCCTGGCCAGTTGGCCACTTTGCTTCCTCAGGACATTTACTTCCTTAGATGCAGATGAAGAGACCAAGTCCCAGCCAGGCCCAGCAGGTAATTTACTTACTATAGAGTGGGTGGTCCAGATACCCCACAAGCACTCGGGTTGGACCTGAGCTGACTGACGTTTTATCTACCTGGCGAAACTAACTTAATGAGCTGGGAAGACAAGCCCCAAGAAGTCCCTGACAAGCCCCTAAGCTATAGCTGAACATGGGCATTTGTGGCATCTGCTGCAATGCTGGGGTTTTCAGAGTACAGCCCAGAATGGCCAAAGCCAGCCATCCACCCATTGTCCATACACTCTTTCATCTACCCACTCACCACCCATCCACCCACTCACTCATCAATCCACCCACTCACCCATCCACCCACTCACTCATCAATCCACCCACTCACCCATCCACCCACTCACTCATCAATCCACCCACTCACCCATCCACCCACTCACTCATCAATCCACCCACTCACCCATCCACCCACTCATTCATCAATCCACCCACTCACCCATCCACCCACTCACTCATCAATCCACCCACTCACCCATCCACCCACTCACTCATCAATCCACCACTCACCCATCCACCCACTCACTCATCAATCCACCCACTCACCCATCCACCCATTCATCCACTCACTTACCCATCCCCCAACCCATCTACTCATTCAAACACCCATTCACCCATTCATCCACTCACCTATCCACCCATCCATCTCCCTACTTACCTCCCATCTACTCATTCACCTACCCATCCACTCTCCCACCCATTCTGCACTAGTTCAGTGTTAGGCACTGGGAGAAGCCAGATGTGGGCCTGCTTTCAGTCCCCTGGGGAAGATGCATGAGGAAGCGGGCAGTGCGGTGCAGTGTGATCTGGGCTGTGATCGGGCATGAGGAGCCAGAGGAGGTGCCCGATTCAGATGTGGGGACTCATGGCAGGCTTTTGGCAGAGACGAAAGGATCGCAAGAGAAGGGTGTACTAAGCAGAGGGAAGCAAATATACAAAGGCTGGAGTTGAGAGAGTTTGTTGAACACTTAACAAACTCAATTTTCTATTCAGGAAAAAGTCCTGAACACATGAGATCTTATACAAGGGTCAGTGCCACAAGCCTGAAGGCGGTCTCCCAGAGGCACTGAGCTTTCAGAGTCAGCAAGTGTCACCGTCAAAGGAGAGGGAAGAACAGAACTTGTCTAAACTTCCTGAATTCCTAGGGCTTGGAAAGCCCTTGCCTACACACTGCACTGTTGGATCCTCACAGTAGCTCCCTGGACTTATTATAAGGTGGGGAACAGAGACTCCACTGAAGAAATTACCTACCATTTACAGGTACACAGTCAGCGAGCGAGGGAGCCAGGACTCGAGCCCCAGATAACAGCCTCCCAAACCACTGCCTTGCATTGTACTGCCACCCCACCCCTGCCGACACTGCACCCTCCATTCCCCCAGCCCATGCTCCCCTTTGCAGTAGTGCTGAGCCAACAAAAACCCAGCTCCAGTTCTGCTCAGAAGGGCCTAGGCCCAGGTTGTAGGAGGTAGGGGGCCGCACTGGGCCATCAGAGCCTGCAAGTGGGACCAGCCGGTCAGGCCAGTCACTCTTCTTGGGCAGGCACACTCTGGGTCGGCACCCTCCTGGCCTCACATCAAGAACTTGCTGTCTTCTCAAGGCTGGATCCCTCTCACCCCAGCCCACTCACCTGGGGTGATGGCAGGTGATGGGAAGGGCTTGGCCACCACTCTTTCCCAGGCTCTTACTTAGTGCCCACCACTAAGGAGATCTCCGAGTGGCGGCAGCTCCTCTACCCTGAGGCTGGCCCGGCACCCCTCTTTGGCTGGGCAGAGATCAGGGGGTGTCATTCTCCCGGGCTCACTGGTCCTTTCAGACAGTCAGGACTGCTTGCATTTACCCTGAGATTCCCTTCAGATCGGGGAGATACTGTAGGGCAGAGCTGAAAATTCAGGTCCTCTGAGGACATGGGCCTCAGAGCCAGCCTGAGCCGCCAAGCCGTTGGCAAGGGGCAGGGCAAATCTAGTGTGGGAGTCTGGTCTCATCTCATTATATCACAGGCCTTTGCCTCCTCTGACCTCCACACCCGCTCTGTCCACCTGGGGTGGGGCTTGGTGGTCCCTGGGGTTCAGCCATCGCTGCCTCCTTCTATGCCCAGGAGGGGATCCCGATTGCAGCGGCCTGGGGCACGGGCTGGGGGGGCACCCAAGGGACCCTCGTGGTGCCGGTGTTGCCAAGTGAGCAGCTGTGTTTGTAAATAGTTACCTGGCAGGAGGACCCAGCCCTCGATAGGAACTAGCCTCCTCTTCTAAAACACAGACCAGTCCCAAAACCAAGTGGTGTCAATAGGATGGGGGACCTAGGACTCCCCCACTCACCATGTCCTATGCTGACTCAGGGCACATGGAAGGTGGGTGGTGAAGTCATAGCTCTCAAATCCAGGGAGGGAGGGCATGGGAAGAAGGATGACAGAAAGCATGGTAGCTCCAAGTGACGGAGGCAAAGCCCCACTCAAAGCACCTCCCCGTAGAGATGGCCCTGGGGCCCACGGCTGGGCTTCAAAAACCCTCTGCTGGTCTAGCCTACTAAGCCCAACACTAAGACCAGTGGTTCTCAGCCTTTCTAATGCCGCTACCCTTTAATAACAGTTCCTCATGTTGTGGTGATCCCCAAACATAAAATTATTTTCTTTTTTTTAATAAATATATTTTTTTATTGATTTTTACAGAGAGGAAGAGAAAGCGATAGAAAGTTAGAAACATCGATGAGAGACAATCATCGATCAGCTGCCTCTTGCACGCCCCCTATTGGGGATATGCCTGCAACCAAGGTACATGCCCTTGACCGGAATCAAACCTGGGACCCTTCAGTCTGCAGGCTGACGCTCTATCCACTGAGCCAAACCGGTTTCGGCCATAAAATTATTTTTGGTGCTACTTCATAACTGTAATTTTTCTACTGTTATGAATCATAATGTAAATATCTGTCTTTTCCGATGGTCTTAGGTTCTACAGCAGTGGTTCTCAATTTGTGGATCACATCCCACAGGTTGAGAACCACTAGCAGGGTCGCCTAAGACAAACGGTCGCAGCATTAGAAAGGTTGAGAACCACTGTTCTAGACCTTCACAATCTAGCTCAGTGGCTCCATCAGCACTACCTCCTAAACCTCTCAAACTGACCATTCTCTCCACCCCAATAGCCCCTGCTTGGTGCAGCCGCCACTGAGCGCAGGCCAAACCCCCACACCAGCCTCCGCACGCGTCTCCTGGCTCCCCACTGCAATAGAGGAGCTTACACCGATCCCAAAGTTACTTCCCAGATACACACGTGATCCTATATCATGCCACTGCTCAAAAACCTCATCTGGCTCCCCACTGCAATAGGACAAAAGTCTAAACTCCTCATGCTGGCCCTGAGGCCCTCTATGATCCTCAGATTCTTCCCTCCACTTAGAATCACCACCACCTCACCTCTGTGTCAGCCTACAGTGGAGAGGCATATTGTGACATGGCCCAGGGTCTCTGCAAACCTCTGAGGCCTTCAGAAAGGGTGGGGAAGCACAAGGCAAGCCACCGGATCATCAAAGAACCTGCCCAGCTCCCCATGACTAGCCAGTGGGGGTGGGGGTGAGGGTGGGGAAATCACCATCTCTCCCGGGGCCAAGGGTCCCCATCAAACGAGCTAAGGAAAGGGCCCCTAGAGAGTTCTGGTGCTGGACTGACCTGGGTCCAAATCCTGACTCAGACTCCTGATGGCTGCATGACTTTGGACAAGTCATTTTACGCTCTGGGCCTCATCTCAACCCCCCTATGGACAGAGTGCGGTACCAGGCACACAGCAGTTAGCTGAAGGGGTCCCTCCATCCCTTTGCTAGCCATCAGGGCACAAAAACAACTTGCAGAAGCACTTGCATTCACACCCTACCTTTTCCGCGGGCTCCTGGGGAGGCGGCTCAGCTGGTCCCACTAGTACCAGCCTCCATTTATAAAGGAGGTGTGGGGCCCAGGGGGTGCACTTACCACATCTTGATCAAAGCACAAAAGTGGCAAAGTCCCTGCCCCAAGCCTGCCCTCCTGGGGAGGGCTGACAGCAATGGCTGCCTGCTCTGGGAAGCTGGTGGCGTTAGCAGTGGTGGCAGAGGCTCCCGGGCAGGACAGCCCTGGGAGCAGATCTGGCAGGGCCTGGGGCAGAGAGCAGGTCTATGAGAAGGGCCCCTCTGCCCCCGCCCCCCTTCATCCGCACACGGGGCGGCGCTAGCTCAGATCAACTCGGAGCCAAGCAATCCGGCCTTAACTCCCACTCTACCAGGTTGCAGGAGCCTCAGTTCATACCCTTCTGCATGCCCCCTACCCCCTCCAGTGCTGGAGCCTGCCAAATGGGTTTCTTAGGACAAAGCCTCTTTACACATCCATCTGTGACACCGACGAGGGGCAGGGCCTGAGCCACGGGCTGGGGACTTGCAGCCAGCAGGAGTGGCAAGGGTGGAGAGGAGTGGGAGTGGGGGTGGGGTGCCAGGTCTCTGCATCTTGTTTAGGAGACTCCACCGCGAGCCCCTCCCAGCGGCTTCTCCTCTCTCCACCCCCACAAGGTCACACCCATCTACTTGGGGAGAGGAAGGAAACAGGGCGCAGTGGCAGCTAAAACACCTGCTCAGAGACCCCAGGCAGCACAGCGGTCCTCCTGACACCCGCCTGGAGAGATTTTCCTGGCTTGCTAGGGCGATGGTCAACCTGGAGCTGGAAATCCACACCTGGGCCTGCTGGAACCAAAACTAAGTTTGGCAGACAGACTGGGACACTGAGGTCCCAGGGACTCCCAGGGCGTCACTCCTGCAAGGTCTGTTTCCACAGAGTAAGGGATGGGGGTAGGATCCAGCGTGGGCTATTCTCAAGCCAATTTCCATGACCAGCGAGTGGCTGTGCACACAGTAGGCACGGGATGGCCACGGCTAGAGAGGAAAAGGCAAGTCCAGGCTACAGGGCGCAGCTCACCCCACCCTCTCCAGGCCCTGTTCACCATGGGTTCCTCTGAGCCTTCCAGGACCAGTCACTGGTGTCCACCCATATCCAACTCACCTCCTCTGTATCAAGACCATCCCAGCATCCCCGTGCTCTGAGCTCCCTCTTGAGAGCCGTCTGTACAACCTGCCTAGCAACTTTAGAGCCCATAGACGGTGCAACTCTTCCCGGGGGCTGATGCAGTTTCCATGGCTCAGCCCCTGACCTGAGGAGAGCTTCCTGCACCAGCTGCCCACCCTGGGAACCAGGCCCTGGACCCAACCTCCCCCAGTCACTTGGAGGAAGCTTTAAAGGCACAGATGCCTGTGGACCCACCTTTGGCCCACGAAGCCCTTTCCCCTTCCTTCTTGGCAGGTCTCCATTCAGAGATGCCTCCAAACAAGACAAAAGCTTCCTTTAATGCTTCTCGGGGCTGCTTCTGGGACAGAAAGCCCACAACCAAAGCGCTAGCTGGCAGAAAACTACACGGAATGCCAGGGCCATAGAGCCACAGCAAATCTGCACCAGGAAGCGTGTGGCCCAGGGGCCGGGTTAAAGAGAAGCACGAATCTCACCATCACATCCTGACCTTGGCCCAGCACCCACCTGTCTACGCCGTGAGAGGGGCTTTCCCTCCACCTTCCTCCTGGGCTTTAATTAGAGTCGCAGAACCACAAGTGACTGGGGCAGAGTTGGCCTGAGAGCCTCCCTGAGCCCCACTCACATTCCCCAGGAGAGATGGGCCCAGGAGTCAGGGTTGCTGGGTTACGGGGTGGCTCACCCACAGATCCTCCCCGAGGAGCCTGGTTATAGCTCTGAAGGTTCAATTAAGCCTCTTGAGTGTGGAAAGGCCCCGCTGAGGTTGGCTGCATCTGACCGCTGTGCAGGGAGGGCCACTGTCCCAGCTAGCTCCAGCTCTCCGGGAGCATGCCTCCTCACAGCCACTCACTCGCGGTGGGAAGCAGCCTCCACTGCCTTGTCCCACCCCCACATCCTCACTCTAGCACCCCTCCAGCACCTCACTCACCCTGACACCGACCTGGTCAGGGACCATGAGCCCACATGAGCACGGCACTGGGAAGCCAGGCTCACACACGTTCAGGAACGGAAAAATATAAATAGCTTTGAGAACAGAGGAGCAAAGGGAAACACAGTGTCTTTCGTAAGCTCTGGGATAAGCCGTTACTACAAATCAAGCCCAAAAAATTCTCAGAACAAAGAAATGCAGCAGAGCTGACAGTGGCAGCGCTCCCTCTGGAAATATTTCCAGGGTCCGATGACCAGGGTTGATGGGTGTAGACCAGTCTCGGCCTCCTGGCCCTTCTTTCCACTCCAAGATCCTGGGGTTCTACCGAGGGCCATGGCACCACACAAGCAGACGGAACCCCCCTGGCCAGGCCCCACTGTGCAGACAGCCAAATCCTGGGCCGCAACGTGATCCTCTTTCCCACCAGCTGGTCCACGTTAGGGCTGCCAGGGTCCCGGCCTCAGGAGCAGCGATCCGTTTCCACCACGGGGCCAGACTGGTGACACACTGCAAGCCCTACAAGCCCCCAGAAGCTCAGTAAAGGGAACACGGGCTGCTCCGGCCAGGGCCAGGCACTCAGAGCTCAACTGCAGGTGGCCAGGCCGCAGGGTACAGGATGTGACCTCCTCCAGCTGGCGGGAAGCTCCTTAAAGTAGGGAGAGTCCTGTTCGGATACGGGGCCATCGAGCTGGGGGAGCAAGGGAGGGCTGTGCTTGCTCACTTTTTCACTCAGGAGCATCCGAAAATGCCCCTTTTGAGGAGAAACACACACAAGACAAAACATAAAGCCCATCCCCGGTCAGAGACGGGGAGCAGAGAGAGGATGAGGAGCAAGGTAGGAAGGAAAGCTCTGAGAAATGGAAGGAGAGTCAGAAGGGGGTTGTTCAGTCACAGGAAGAGCCTGTAAGATGGTGGGCTTCTGGGAAGGAGGCAGAGGCCTGGCTGCACTGAGGACAGGGGCAGGAAGCTGAGGCTGGGAGGAGGCCATTTAGCTGCAGGAGGAAAAAGGTTGTGGTTGGTGCTGTCTATGCGCCCCATGCCTTTGAAATCAGAGCCACAAGCTAATGGCACTCACCTGACCTAGTACCCTGGGCTTTCCAGATGCAAGAGTGCCCTAGGCAAGCTGGGCCCTTAGATCCCTGCCTGAGGGTCCTATCCCCACCATCCCAGGTATTGTCGTTTTTTCACAGACTAGGCAACGAGCAGAGAAGAGAGAGTTTTGCTTTTGGTTAAAGGTAAATTCTCTGCACATTTGATACAGCTCCATTTTCTGACTTCCCCAGGGGAAAGTTCCTCTCCTGAATGCCACAAACAGAAACAAGTCTGAATCGCACTCAGTTCAGCAAACACTGTGCTGGTGGGTGAAGGCTCTGCCACCTCCTGGTTCACCCTCCGGAGGTCAGAGCCACACAGTAGCTGCTGCCCCAGCTGCCGGGTCCTGCTGTTGGTGGGTGCGAGCCCATGGCACCCACAGGGTTAATGCTGGGCTCCAGCAGCCCAGCCCTCAGCGGGGCAGGGAACACGGAGGAGGACTGGGCCTCTCTTTCCAGGCCAGGGTGAATGGAAGGAGAGGCAGGGGAGGGCCGGCTGCTGGCAGGCCTGCGTCTCTCCACTCCGGGCCTGTCACATGAAAGGGTTTGTATTCCTGCCACTGGCTCCGGCCCGTCCAGGCTGGGCTGTTCTCACCGGAAAACAAAAATCTCTTTCAGACCAAAGCAAAACGAGGCCCTGGCTGGCCCGCGCAGGCTGTTAGGCGTTGCTCCCGCTGACTCACCGAGAGCACCCATCACTTGGATTCTCACTGGCCCGCCATTTGCCAGAGGAAGCTGGGGGCTCTGTGAGGCAAGCACCCCGTCAGGACAGGGCAGTGGGACCAAGAAATGGGATGGCCCCGTTCGGACGCTCTGATGGTTCTGTCCTTTCCAGAAATAAGGCTGGATGGGTCTGAGGTAGCAACCTTTATTTTTATATGAGGAAACTTGGGTAAGTCTCATGGTGTTGATGGTAAAGGGGGAAAAGGAATTGGGAAAGGAAGTGTGATGTTAAACACCAGGCCTTGCAGTGCCCAGAGAGGGCTCTAGGATGGAGGCCACATGTATCCTCCGCCTGCCACTCAGTGCTGCTGCCACCAGTGCCCTTGCGACGTGGGTGGGGTTTGTGGTAACCCAGAGCCCTGTGTGTGCCATCACCAGCTTCTGGAACACTCCAGCCTCAACAGAGACGGCACGGCAAGGTCAGACTTCAATCCCATTCACAAATGCCGCCTTGCTGACACCCTGGGTCACCAGGAGCTGTCTTGTACCCAACGGAGTATGCTACTGGCTCCGGTTAATAGGAGACACTGACACAGCAAGACCATTTAGTCTGAGAGGCAATCTGGGACAAAACCACTTAAGAAGGCATTCTGAGCCAACAGGAGGGTTGGTGGACACACCACGGACCTGCAATGCAGGAGACACGGGCCTCGTCAGCCTCTCCGCCAAAACAGGGCCCAGCTCTGATGACCAGCCCGGGGCTCCTCTCCCCGGATCTTCCTGTTATTAGTTGGGGCCACGCTGTGTGCAGAGAGTTCACGCCCCGGGGAGGAGGAGAAAGGGCACTTCAGACGGAAAGGGGGCTTCACAGGTCACAGGCTTCCCTGCTGTCTGAGCTATGGCAAGGATCTCGGAGACTCGTGGACCCAATTCTTCCAGCAGCCCGCTGGCCAGGGAAGACCGCACCCCCGCTTACCCACCCCCCCATCCCTTTCCCTCTGCACCCCAAACAGAGCCAGGCTTTGGGAGACAGCCTGCAGGCAGGGAGGGGGCTGAGACAGGTGAGTCGAAGGTGTCCCTTGAGAACCACATCCAACCTGCCGGAAGGTACTAAATTAATACATTAATTTACATTAATACTGCAGTTCTCCAGCCACTGAACAGGGTTCTTGGGTCTAGGTTGCTTCATGCAGGCCAAGTTCTAGGGGCCAGAGCACTGCCCCTTCCAAAGTGAAGGGGTCACTGCAGGCCTGATGGGTCCCAGCTGAGGGCCCTTGGTCTGTGCTGATGACTTGTCTACCTCTCTTTGGACTCTAGGGCCTCGCCATCCCACCCTCTCACCAGCCCCCTGTCCAGTCTCACTGGCTGGCCCACATCCAATCTTGCTGCTCTCTCTGTCCA